TTAGAATGGTACCGTTAAACATCAGTGTTTCGTTTGTACACGGAAAGTGGGTCTATGCGCTCGAATAATTTCCTCCGTGAAGTTACCGAACGAAGACGATTTACGAGCGTTGACATATTCTCGATAGCAACAGCAAAAGAAAAATATATAAATTATGAAAATACGTCTCGTTATTCTAATGGTATCGTCGCGTTAAAACGTTAAAAGGACACTTTGATTTTTTACGACTCTATAAAATTATCTACAGAATTCAGTGTAAATTATTATTATGTAATATATTTTTGTCTGACATTGGACCAACAATGTGGACTTACCAGTACGAAATATGCACTAATAATAAAGACAGTACCTGATACAAAAGGTTCGAAATACGTCTTTCATTCCTGATCTTATATGCTAGTGGTGGCCAAACTTTGCCATTACAAAAGCCTAATATAACAGCTATTAAAAATACTCGAGCTTCATGTAGCGCCTATTAAAAATACTCGAGAGCAGCGTACATTATTGAAACGGTATTTTTTATACGTATATCACAAATAAAGTATTATATGATGTTTTCTCAAAAACCAATGCAAATATCGACTTCATTGTTACGTATACATACCTGGGAAAAATTTTAATGGGGGATTCTGGAGGCCAAAATAAGACAAAAATCAGGGATACTATTTTGTTGATTGAGGCTTCGTTAAAAAGTTACAGAAACATTTCCGACCACCCATTATATTTTCGGTAAAGAATTTTTTTCTCGAAAGTGCGTAGGATTTCGTGAATATGTGTATTGACCAAAAATGATTGTAATCGACTTCCACAAGCGAAAATAATTTTTCCAGAATGATTTCAAATTTTTTAATTTTTTTAATTAACCTACTCGAATTTTTTTCTCGTAAGTGGGTAGGATTTTGGGGGTATGTCTATTCACAAAAAATTATTGCAATTGACCCCCGCAAACGAAAATAATTTTTCCAGAATGATTTCAAATTTTTTAATAACTTTTTAACGAGGCCTCAATCAACAAATTGATATTCTTGATTTTCGTCTTGTTATTCTGTCAGGTTAAGATCAAAATGGAAACGTTCGGGTACGTATGTAAAAAAGGCATACATTAATGTAAATTATAACAAAATTGATACTTTTCCATATTTCCGTAAGCTTGTCATTTACATAAGTAGCATTAACTTCTAACTGAATGAATAAATTGTCATCTTACATAGATAAATCGTGCATGGAATTAAAGCTAGGCACCGAGTATGGAACACATTTTTTTCATTCGCATAAATATACTCGTGTTTGACGTCAAGCATTTACTCGTTTATATTATTACGAATATACAGATAACGACTTCCTGCTTCAATTAATCATAATAGCATCATTAATGTAATTTTTAATGGAATACAAATGATTTTTGGAGATTGTAACGTACGTACAACCTGATCAATGAATGTAACTTTTTCTGTGATGATTGCATTATTATTGGCTATAATTCTTTCATTTTTCACGCGAATTAGCTGAAACGTAAATAAAATCAAAGTTTAAAAACTTATATAATGTACGTTCGTTGAATTTGTTATTGCTTCGAACCAATCGAACACACCTAACAAATGCTATTTTTTATTATACGAAGAATCGAGTTCATCGGGATTTCAAGTCGAAATCAACAAAATTACCGCAAAAAAAAAAACGTAAAAAAATCCTGGTTATTAATCGTCTCGTTTGACTACGACAGTATACAGCGATGGACGAAAACTATTGCTACAGTGTACTGTTTAGGATACAAAGGCTTATAACTACGAAAAAAAAAAAATGACCAAATTTTTGTATAAATTTTATTTTTCATATTTTTGTATATTGTATGATAAGAAGCACTAACAAAAATTATGCGATATAAAAACAACAAAAATTGTCATTTCTTCGAAGATCGATTCGTTATCATTTGAAGATAAAAATAAACGAACTTTGCACTATGAAATGTAATCCAGTTTTCTTCATAGGTATAAACATTTGTTTTCTAAAATCTGTACCGCGACAATCAATTCGTTCATCATTGTGTATACATAGACGATCTAGAGTAAACACCGGTGATACCCGACAGGTGAAATCATCGAGTTTCTTTCGACTGACGTAAAGGCTTGTGATTGGTCCACTGTCAAAGTTACTATGAACATACGACTCGGAACAACTGAATGCACCAATCAACAATCTCATCCTTTTTTCTCGGAATGCACGAGTCAGTCGTTGAATAATATACCTACATCGATCAAATATTTTTCTTCAAAGAATGTAACCGAATAAGAAATCCGAAAGTATCTTCAAAACGAATTTAACACGGGTCATTCGATAATTTATTTAAAAAGCAAGCTGTATCTCAGCGCGGGGGAGTTAGTAATAAGCATATATTGAAAATCTCGATTATTTATCCAATTTCTCCTAATTTACTGTACGAAACATTTTGAAAATAAAGTCAGAGCCATTTCAATTAGGAAGACACAAATTACGAAACATTTTCAGACTTTTTAAAATTCAAGTTTTAAAATGAAATTATGTTTGTGAAAATTTATTATTTATTATTAAAATTTTGTTTCGTCTAAACTCAAGCTCTACAAAATTGATCGAACGATTGAATCCAATACATCGCGTTCTATATTTAGTAACGTTAATGCATTTAATCTTCCTTGACTTGTATTCGTACGTAAATAGCGTTTTATACGTTTTATAGTGAGATTACGTATAACAATACAACATACGTACGAAGAATTATATCAATAAAGGGGTACGTCGTGTGGAAATTTTTCTTTTTAATCCATTTTATTAAATTAATCGCAGTTTCTTGCTTTTTCTTTTCTTTTCTTTTTAGTATTTGTTTACTTATTTTCAGTCATACTGTCGACCGAATCAGTCTTATATTTATACATTGAGCTTTAAAGTAAATCTATCTGTTTTCATTGTTTACTAACAAGGGTGGTTTCTCAGATATCCAAATAGTTTTGAAAAAATTTCTAGATTTCGTGCTTTCTTAATAATATCTTTGGAAAATGTATTTTAGACGCAGAGCTTCGTGATAAGACGGAGGGAAGAATTTTATGTCAACAAAGCAATCGAAATTCATTGTTGCTACAAGTTGAAAAACAATGTTGGAATGAGAGAAAGGTTCCATTTAAATATCTGTCAGCTACCGTGAACTTCTTGATCTTTTAGAAATGGAAGAGAAAGACCTCAACTAATCAATGAAGAGATGAAATAATGATCTTCATCGTCTTAGAGAGACGAACAGAATTATTAAATTCGAAGTAAAATTGCATCATGCCAACAGGAAAACCTTGATGTTATTAGATTCAAGAAGTTATTCCAAAATTAAGCCTGCCGTTGATTGATGTTCATACGTATTACAAATAATTTATAATTTATCGCATACTCGATACTCGTTGAAACTCAAATGGCATGCAGTAAACCTACAATAAAATTTTAATTCGAAACATAATTCTTTGATCTTCATGAAGTAATTATAAAATTATCGAAACGAGTTTCAAATGTGTGAAACGTGTGACAATGGCGATACTACGTATAGGAAATGCAAAAAAAAAAAAACAAAGCGATGTGTATGATTTAATTACAATTCGCAATGTTGTTTTATTCAACAATACGTGAGTACGTGATTTTTCTTTTGTTTGTAACGATCGTGTAGTTTGTCAGTTACATTGGAACATTTTCTTCGTAACGTTTTACAAGCGAATAACACTCGTTTTATTTATTAGAGGGTCGAGTACTATAACTTTTAATTGAAATTTCCGTAGATTTTACAATTTTTTAAAGGTAACAAGCATGCAACAAGTTATAAAAATTATTTGTTATATACTTCGGGTTAAAATATTCTTAAAACATTTGTAAATAAATGTTGGCCATTATTATATAGTTGCAAGTTGAAAAAATGTATTAATAATGTAAGAAAAAAAAAATGACCCAAAGAAGGTCTCGAACCGATGTACAAAAACAAGTCCGTCCGGGTTCAATAGTTCGACACTTTACCACTGTGCAATTGATGCTATTTACAATTAAGATTGTTCAATTTTTTTTAATTCCTATATTATTCAGTAAATCTAAAAACGTTCAAAGTCGCATAAAATACTCCTCGTTCAATGAAGAACGTACGAAAATTTGACGTATAAGTAACCATGAAAAAGTCGGTGCATAACTTTTTTTTTTAACTATTGCGTACCAAAGTACAAAATGGAAAAAAATTTGACAATAATATGACTGCTTCGATACAAAACTGACATTTCTCAGCATGTTTTATAACTTAGATTCTCAATTAAAAGATCTGAAAATATTCTATAATGTGAGCTTTTGTTGTCGAAATGACTTTAATTTTTTTTCAAAATTTCTCATTCGATGGGATAGGAGAAATTGGAGAAAAACGTGATTTTGTATTTTTGCCTGTTACTACTCTCCCTTCCCATCCAAGTCACGATACAGAATTGAAACTTGACACACATTACTTTCTTTTGATAAACTATCGAATGACCCACTGCAAGTCAAATTTGGTTTTCGATTCTTTTACTCGACTATACCCTATACGAGTATACAGACCGTACGGTTTCAGTTCTATCTGAAAATTCGTATTACTCAAGATAACGAGACAGCGTCGCGTCTCTGGAAAGGAGGAAATAATCCGTTACCAGCGATCACGCCACATCGGAATCCGTTCAGTATTTTGAACGCACTGCGTCTTCTAAAGTCAATGATTTATGAATCCTTTGTGTCAAAAAGAAAGAGGGCACGCTAAGTAATTTTATACATTTAACGAAATATAATTGTAGAATTTGTTTCTCAAATAAATCACCGAAACGAATTACTCGTCGAACATAAAAATATTTACGCAACAGTATTTTGTCAAAGGTAACTATCTTCGAGGTTACTAAAAATTTGAGTAACTGTTCTGGTGGAATTCCAGAGAGGGCGTGCACAATTGAATTTTCACGTGGACGAACGACTCGTTCAAAACGTACCTGATTGTTCCTTGAATTACAATTTCACAGTGGCCTCGGTGAAGAACGGTTCATGGAGCTGTTACCTTTGGATCTTTCCAGCCAATAACTTCCGCACAGAATGATAGTTCTTACGATACTGATGGTACGCCGGGTTTGCCGCGACAATCCACACTGAACTCGCGATTCGTTAGACGGGACTGTGCTACACGATACACGGTGATGGGTAATTCCGTAACCATGTGGCGGGGATTAGGAAGCAATGCTGTATGGAAATAGGTTCGCGGTCATCGGTCGCTTCATTTCGAAAATGTCTATGTAGATCTTCGATTTTTACGTCAATAAATCATAAAGAAGAATATATGAATATGTAATATAATGAGATTGTACCGCATTAGTTTAAAAACATGTAACTTTGTTATTATAACCTAATGTCGACGTGTGTACATTTAAATATCTCATCTCATGATCGAATACTTTGGCATCAGGTATGTCACTTTTTATCTACACTATTTCCGTTTTAATCAATACAAATTGACCCAAAATTATTCGTGCAACTTTGTACTAATTTCTTTTGAAAACTGAGGCATACATCCTATAATACAATAGACACAAATATTTATGTAGGTATATACATATAATGCATGCATATAAACTATATATTTTATGAAATAAAGTGTACCAAACAGTTTATATCAAACAGAGAAATCTTATGTCTACAGTTTTTAAAACTTTTTCTCTTTTATCATTGGTTTAAAGCATTTAAAAAAGAAATTAAATAGTTGTGTATTTTTAAAAGAATCAGATAAATGAGCTTTAAATATGAAAAAGATACAAATGTGTAATTCATTGTTAAACATTTTTTTTTTTAAATAATTGTACAGTGGTGCGTATAGATACGTGCGCTGGGCTTGCGCCGTATGCAACGAAAGCATAGTCGGGCATAGATAGGTTACACGATACTTGTTCTTGTGCGTAAGTTTGTTGTTGTTAATCGTATTGATTCGCATAAAATAAAAGGAAGTTTAAGACCGTTGCATAATAACATTTTGGTTAATTAATCAACATGCCAGGCACGCCAATGAAAGAGGAAAACGACACATTGGAGAAACTGCAAACGACGGAACGTCCTCCGAATGCGAATTGCGAACCCGTTATACGGGAAATAACACAAACTGATAAATTAAACAAAAGGTTATTGGTATCGTTTTTAGAAAGGTTAAATAAATCAGACATCGAGTCTGATAAATTTATGGATAAAGGAAGCACCAATTGTGATTCTCAAGATGACAATGAGTTTTAAGTAAGCAAAACATAACCTACATACCGTTGGGCGATAATACTACCGTTACAAACGTGCAATTAACTGAGGCACGAATATTATTTGAGAGAAAAACGTGGTTCAAGAATTTCTCGTGCACAAATACTTGTATTCAAGAGCTTCCTAAGAATTTTTATTGTTAAGTACAGAATTATCGTTTTATATACAATAAAAAAGGTGAAGGTACAATTAGCTGAAAATGCCAATATTATCGAACCTTTCCGATTACGAAGATGAAGATGATATTGTAGCTGAGTATGAAACACGAGATTCTGATGTAAATCAACTTAATGTTGAGAGAGACGAAGGCACAGGCTCGGAGAATGAAGAAAGTACAGAAGCAAACAATGCACGAAGAATTGATCCATCATCGTCTAAAAAGCATGTAGTAAGAAATCCTATACCTAAATTGAACACAGAGCGTGTAAAAGGCCCTAAAGGGATACAAACTATTGAAAAATACTTTGAGGGATTTAAATTTCATGGAAATGGATATGAGAAGTTAGATTTGGATAAGGTTATGAAGAGAATGGAACATTGGGCACATAGATTGTTCCCAAAATTAGGGTTTGATGATTTTATTGAGAAATTGGAGAAGTTGGGTACTAAGAAAGATCTTCAGGTATTCATTAAAAAATATAGACTAGATATGATTACTGCGGATGATGCTGTAATAATTCAGGATAATGCAGAGGAAGAAAATGATAAAGCACAAGACGAACCTTTCGATGAATTTGATTTACTAATTGCTGAACAAATAGAGAAACAAAAACAAGTTATTAATCAACAGTCGTCAACATCCAATGCAGCCGAGGCTCTATTTGATGAAGTATTTTCAGAAACTAATAATAAGAACTCTCAACCTGTTCAAGAAAGTCCTCTTCCGCCACAGTTAAGTGACGAGACAAAAGACCGTATAGAAAGAAACAGACAACAAGCTATTCAGAGAAGACTTGCAAGACTTAAAGCCAAAGAAATGGAAGAGGAAAGTAAAAAACAGAAATTGGAAGATGTTGAAGGTACACAATCTGAAGATAGTGCTTGTAATTTACCATCATCTAGCGAAACTGCAAATTCAGAGAATACAAATTTTAAGAATAATTCACAAGAGGCAGATAAGAATGATCAAACAGAAATACCACAAAGTCAGTTATAAGAAAGTATAAATAAATTTTATAATATGAAAGTATTAATGCAGCATTTAAAAACCAATAAGCGTGACAAATAAAGGCTCTAATATTATAATTTCAGATTATTTTCTAAACATTCATGTAGGTTAAAACAATTAAAACGTGATACAAATTATACATTTATTTTTATTCAAGTTTTACGTTTTTGTGTGCTAATATATAATACATTATTACCACGTATAAAAGCATCACCATATTTGTCTTTTAATTGACCATTCACATATTCTTCCGTTTGTTCAAGTGCTATATTCATGTAACCATCGAGACATGCTAAAACACCTATCAAATTTAAATGACATTAATCAAAAAATTGTTTTGCATGTATTGTAGTTTGTTTAAGAGTTAAATACAAATGTCACCTCTATAATCTATTCCGCTATTTAACTTCACAACAACGGGACGGCCATGAATCTGTTGAATAAATTGGGATAATGCTTCCTTGCGACTCATCTGCAAATAAATATTAAGTTACATTACGAGAAGAATTTAAGATATAAAAAATAATTTAATTGGTTGAAAATTTATTCGAGTGTATGATTTTTTATAAGATAACACAGGGCCCCGGACTGCAGTCCCCCCTTGGCTACCTGCGAAGAGGGGGACACGTTTACTAATTTTAACGATTTCGGTGGTAGAGTTGGGTAAAGTTTTCAAGTCCATTATTCCTTAAACGAAGAGGTCGCTCGAAACTCTCTGATGTTTTACGAAGTCGATATTTCAGTTCGGATAACACCAAATCTCGTAACATGAAATGTCTGATCTATACTTCGTATGTGTTTATGCCATGTCTATAATCAACGCGATACAAAAAACATAACTAACATCGTCTATTCTACACCCCATTTATTCGTAGCGTTATTGTCTAAACGTAGGGTACGCTTTAGAAAAAATAATTTTTTTTCCAGATCGGCACTTTAGCTCGTAGAACACAAATTTCAATTATATATTTTATGCACACTATACCTCGTCTGCAATGCTAAACCAATCTTACATATCATTTATGATTAGCAATGATTAATACATGCGATTTTTTCAGTAACCTTTGATTGATCATTTTTTTTTTTTTCCTTCTTTACCATCTCTGTATTTAACCCAGGAACGGATAAAGACCTGGTCTGAGCCTAGGTTAGCACAAAGTGAAATCGTTGGATATACATACATATGTATGTTCTTCTGAGTTTATTCCTTCAGTATTAAATACGATAGTGAATTGGCATGAGGAATTCAAACAAGCGTTTCCTGTTTAAATATACTTTAAAATAAAAATATACTTTTCAAAAATTTGTCATTATTCTAAGCAAAAGTTTTTGTGTTTGAAGTGTAGTATTTCATATGTTTCGCTTACAATTATAGTTTAGGCTTAATTATATAAATCGATATCAATCAGTCTTATCATTTTACGCGGATAAAGATTTAGTTTTTTCTTATAAATACTATTAGTTTACAATTATTATGGTATTTTGGTTACCAAAGAAACGTTTTAAAAAAAGGTACTGTTTCGTTTTCTAATAATTTATTTTCTTATCCTGGTTATATTACACAGTATTGTTTTCCATCTGCTTTTGAATACTAATGTTTGGACATAAAACTCAATAGTAAACCAACTAACTAATGTAACCTTCAAGTGTAATTATTACCACCTGTTTTAAAATGTTACAGTCTTAAAAGTTTTAATGTATTTTGTTTTGTAGCCATTTAATTTGGAATGTGTCATTTAAACAGATAGTATAAAAAATGGCACTGAATTTGAAATTTGCATATTTTGCAAATTAGACAATCGCTTTATCAATCAAATGCATTTATTGATACAACCGTTTTTTATGAGATATTTTAGTATTGTTAATTTATTATCTTAGGTGGGTATAATAAAGTACAAAAAATTATATGTTGTAAATGTATATTTTTCATGTAATGTATACCATAGTTTTCACTTATTTAAAGTGTACCAATTTAATATATACTTTTTCACAATGAATGAATTTTTTCTTTTTTTTTTTTAATTATGAAGTTTTTAAGTACAAGTTTCTACATCTAATAGAAAGCACTTATTTGTTAACAAATTTTTTGTAAATTATAAAATTTCATGTAAAATGTATTTTTATACAAGTACAGTTTTTGGGAATAATATTAAGTTATTACAAATGTCTTTATGAAATTATGTAATATAATGACTTCATAATGATTCTGAAGGTCTCATTAGTATTAGGAAATCATCTATTATATAGCTTAATCTGTATGCGTGGAATAATTACACTTACATATATATAATATATACATATGACAACAAATAACATTATATCTCATTTTTTATGTACCATTGTTCTGTAGTAATTCCTTGCAAGAACTTTTACACAAGTAAATTATTTTAAAAAGGTGGAATTAATATGATGCTTTAGGTTTGGTTGGTAGCTACTAACAAATATGCAGTCTATTTATCTACTATTAGCAGCAGCGACACCATTCATCGTTCTTGATACTTGGTATAGAGGAATGTAAGTTGCTCTGCTATAATAATGATTTATTTGAAATATTTATTATTGTCGACTTTTAAAGGATATAGTTCTTGTTGATAGACCTTTCAAATTTGGCTACTTTGTACAATAATATTAAATTAATTTTGTTATTTTCTTATTCTTATGAATTACATTAAAGTTCATACTTTTGTTAACATTCTTGTTCAATATCTTGTAGTAGTATATAAAGATACTAATTTTTTGTAATATATTGGGTTAAAACATTATGTATCAGTATACGATTAATTCACTTTAAAAAACTAATAAAGAAAAGAAGGTATAAATATTAATTATGTTAATTAAGTTTAAAATCATATTTCATTATGTAACTTTGATACTTTATTCAATGTCTCTTCATTTATTGACTATAGCGTATATACAATGTTCAATTTTTTGGAAATAAAGCAGTTTCTGGTATAGTAAATTGATTTATTAAATGATTTAATGGAGCAATATTCCATTATTGATGAGAACAATGACCATATAAAAATATTTTGCAACTTTGTTACTTGTAATGATAACAGAAAATTTTGTAACAGAAACTGTAAGTTTTCTATTATATAACTCAGCACTTATAAGTATTTCTAATTCTTAAACCAGATATACAAGTTTAATAAATAACAAATGTCTTAAAAATTGGACATACTTGATTAATTGTTTAATACACTCAATACATACACTTATAAAGATATAATAAATACTTTATTACAGATATTATTTATTGTACCAAATACATACAAATATTTCTTTAATTATGTGTATTTGGTCCTTTTTATATTTTATTCTCTAATTGTGCATATTTATATATACATTATTCTATTGCTTGCTTTGTCGCATAAAATGCAATGCTCCTTTTCTATTTCAACTTTCTTATTATACTATTCGATAAAAATGTAAAAAGAATTAAAATATTGGAAAATGTATAAATAAGCAATGAAAAGATAAAGACAAATTTTTGAAATAATTTGTTAAACATATGAAATGTAAAATGAAAACAGTTTCATTTGCAAATTTCAATCTGTGTGTGCTTCATGTTTTAAGTAACCAATTTTCAAACTAAATGCATTAAATAATGTGGAATGATTAGTAATTAAATGATAAATATGTACGTCATCTGCTATGAAATTAACAAGGTATAATTTTATAAATATTATTATACTTTGTAATACTTTGTTAATAGTTTATTACAAAGGAATTATGGTATTTTTGTTTATGGCTAGTTTTATATGCATGCATTAATGTAATGGATTTTATGTCTATCATTTTTGTTAAATTGTGCTATGAATCATAAAAACAAGAAAAATATACTAATAGAAGTAAATCATACATATTTATTGCTTACATTATTCAACAATTATTATGGTTTTGTTAACATGACCAAATTTAGGCATGAATTTTGTGAATAAATATTAATTTTTGCATAGCTATTTATTTATAGTATTAATATGATAACATGTTAGATACAAAAACGTGAATTTCAGATATTTATTTTGGGCGATGAAGGTATCAATAATTACATACCTTATTATATTTGGACTTTTACCCATTATATTTCATTACTCTTATACCATACAAAAAAAAATACTTTTTTTAAACATTGGTAAGTAGTCAAATGTAAAGTGTGTTTAATAAACTGCATTTTTACACATTTATGTGCATGATTGTTTTTTCTATTCTCAGTACAATGGCCACTTAATGTTGATTTTACAAAACCAGAATCAGTTGGCATGAAAGGAACAAGAAACTTTTACTTAAAAACCCATCAACAAGTAAAAATAGGAGTATGGTAGGTAGAAATGTATAGAAAATGCAGTATAAATAAACATGGTTTATTTTTAGGCAAATTCTACCTCAGTCATTGATAAACGATTCTACTATTATAAATGATGAAGATTATGAATCTGTTTTAAGTACTGCAAAACAACCTGTTTTTCTTTATATGCATGGTAACAGTGGTAATAGAGCAAGTAGCCATCGATTAGAACTTTACAAACTTTTCCAAACTTTAGATTACCATGTTATATGCTTTGACTATAGGGGTAAGCCCAATATATTTTGACAATTATAAATGTAAATGATTATTTGATTATTTAAGTTCCCTTGATAAATGCAGGCTATGGCGATAGCGAAGAAGCAGAACTTTCTGAAATGGGGGTAGTTGCAGATAGTAAATATCTACTTGAATGGTTGTTAAAGAAGGTGAATGGATCTGCACCCGTTTTTGTATGGGGTCATTCTTTAGGCACTGGGTATGAATTAGAAATTTGTTTCAAACTACATTAAGAAACAGATATAATCTTTGTAAAATACATTGTTATTTGTAGTGTTTCTACTCATGTGTTAGCATTATTGGCGGAAGAAAATATTCAGCCTGCAGGCTTGTTCTTAGAATCACCATTTAACAATATTGCAGACGAATTAAGCGAACACCCTTTAGCACAGGTATTTTGGACTTTACGCAATATGTTTTAACAATATTAGCATCCTATGATTTTCCAACCATATTAAAAACGCATTTATACATTGCTTGTTTCTCAAGGTTTTTAAACATTTACCATGGTTTCATTGGGTGATTGTTGAACCATTTTACAACAATCATCTTCGTTTTGAATCAGATAAACATATAAAAAACGTTCAATGCCCTGTTATGATATTACACGCGGAAGATGATAATATTGTACCATTTTCCTTGGGTGAAAAGGTATGGAATCAATTTGAATTAGATTTTTACAGTGAAATACTAATGACAAATTTTACATTTATGTTATTAGTTATATAAAGCTGCAATAAGCTATCATGGAAACGATACAAATCATATTCAGTTTATACGTATAGATTCGTCTTATGGACTTGGTCATAAATATATATGTCGCTATAAAGAATTACCTAATATAATTACGTAAGTTTCAGTTATCATTTTATTGCGATTTTGATAGTATACATTATTCATATCTTTAATAATACTTTTCAGATTATTTGTAAAAAAGACACATAAAAATCAGACTGATTATTATTATTAACGCTAACATGACATAAGTTTTTTACAACGGAAATCTATAGATGAATAAAATAAATAATATATGATGCCGGAAAAACATTAACGAGTAAGTTTTACGAAGTTTAAAATTTTTCTGTTCGATATTGCGTCGATGTAATCGAAATTGCGCCTTTCTATTGTTCAATCAAGTATTGCTCTTAAAATTATACAATATAGTATTTAATGTAGTATTCCAGTTTTGTTGAATACGAAATATTCAAACAAGCAGCTATTCAAGATTAATTGAACTTTTATGTGTTCACCTGTGTTACAGTAGTATTAATTATATTTAACAAAGCAAGCATGTTGATTCGTTTCTATTAAATATAGGAGAATGTTATGACGCCGAAGAAATGCTGTGATAGTTATTTTAAGACTATCAACAGTATTTATTATATTATATTTATCAATTAACATAACACGATTACAACTAATGAATACTCAGCACCACTATTACATTAGTTGTGCAAAACAACGGAAAGTAGTATTGTCGTCAATAAATTGTGTATAATTTAGTTGTCTATACAATGTATTTCTGTGTCAGTATATTTCATGTTCTTTACACAAATGAAATAATAAAATAGAATTGTGAAATAACAACGATTCTAGTTTCAATGCCCTTTTAAAGTATTATATGTTAAATTAATTACTGTTTATTAGTCATTTAATAAATGGTTCGTAAATACCAATTAATTTTCAATAAATGGTGCGTACAAAAGTAAGGGTAGGGAAATCGTATGTCGGTGGCGTAATTCGGATTTCAGCTATTTCAAGAGCGAAAAGGAACGAATCATATTCACCTTCTTTCTCGAATACCCGAAGCTGGTGAAACAAAGTTGCTTACGACACGTGGTTGTGCGCCATGCCGTGTATTTGCGCGCGTAAATGGAGGGGCAATTTCCTCTACCCAGGGGTTGCTGAGCCAGGGTACCGATCACCAGTCTGTAACAGTGAAGTCTGGAGTGGATCAACTTTATAAAATGTGACACAAGAACCACTTTGAAAAATTGATGAAAAAACACGTTTCTGAACATATACAAAAAGTGTTAATGCTGATGTTTCGTAAACAATGTTTTATCAGTTTTCTAAGTATCTGTTAAAGAATTATTGTGATGACCAATATGATTAATAAAACTTGGAAATTTAATCTGTGTTCTTTATATTTTACGATAAAATAGTAATTTAATTCGTTATAGGTTAGTAAATATCTCTTTCTCTCTCTGTATATATATATATATATATATATTTATTTTTTTTTCTGTCCATAAAGAAGTACAAGAATAAAGGAAAGAAGTACAATGGAGGGCCAAAGTATTGTGACATCGAAAGCATATAAACGTGCTGAATCAAATTTAAAAGACAAATTGAAATTGCCTTATTTAAAAAATTATCCGCATCACTTGGTGCCAGGATACAATTTACATACCAACTTTTCTGCAGACGATTCAGATTTAGAAAACGTCGTTGAACAGTATCAAAATTATCCTTATTATTGTGATTTTCCAAGGCCTTTCTTGCCACCTGCTAAATTACCTAGAAGTGGTAAGCAATTCAGTTGGACAAAATGATATTTTATATATATTCACTATATCTATTTGTATGTCGCACAGTATTGGATGAAGAAGATCCTGCATTAGAACTGCTTACTGTTAAGAATCACATGAATGATGATATACAGAGGCTAAAACATTATTATCTTAGACACGAGAAAGGTACTATTGTTATAATAGGTATATGAATTTGGAAGATCATATCTTTACGAATATATCATTTTGTGTAGAGTTAGGGGCAATACATAAGAAAGATATAAAATGGAATCGTAAAGATAAGACAGTTGATGCCAAAGTGCCTAAATATGTAGCAGATATGGCAGCAATTATTGATATGGATCCAGATCCTTATTTTGAAGGGGTATGAAAAATTAACAATAATGTTTGAAAATATATACAATTTGGAATGGAATTAATAGAAATTCTGTTTAGGCCTATAATTGGTATTATACCGGTGGATCTGTAAACCGTATACAATTTAATAATACAAATATATTACTTTTTCCATTTATGAATGAACTAGGTATTATCATTAAAGTAGTATTTTTATACTTTTAAGTAAATTGTGATCTAACTTTAACATTTTTATAGTTGCCACACCTGTTGTTAACGTAGAGGAATTTTTGTGGAAACCATTGTTTCAAAAAGCAGCTAAATGTGACCTTGATGGTTCCTTGTACGAATTAAAATATAATATTAATAGTAATACATGTACGTTTATGTAACTATAATTTTTGGATAGCCTTCGTAAGAATCATTGTCACTAACAGCATTGAAATTTAATCAACATTTTAGGTAATGTTTTGGGTAGATACAAAGATCATTGTAATTTTTATATGCTGTCTGAATGTGATAACAAATACAGTTTGGATGAAATTCATCGACAATCGTCAAAAATTCCTTATGTTAGCGCTGATTTAAATTTAATTAATACCAATCAGTATTGTACAGTAAATGTGGAAAGATCCGTAACATTATGGGATATAACGAAAATGTAAATATTTACTGTAAATGTAGTACAGTAGTGCCCACGTAAGTGACCACGCTCGGGACCGGCCGCGGTCATTTATGTGGGCATGGTTGCTTCTCAGAATTCAATGGGGATAAGGAACGAGGATAAATGTAAGTGGGCAAAAGTGTGGTCACGTATGTGGGCACTACTGTATTAAGTACATATTACGAAGAATATAGAAAGTTTATGTTTATGTTTATTTTTGCAGGCAGTACATATGTAGTAACACTATAATGCAAACTGCCGTATTAGACGATTCATGGGGAAGTATAAAGTTTCAGGCAGTGGATCCAAATGTTATTTTATTTGTAGATAGATGCTGTCTTCATTATCTTGATACTAGAGTAAGAATAATATCATTTAGTAATGCTATTTTATTGGCTATCTTTAAAATATTTTCTTAATTACAATATTCTTTGATATAAATATTTAGCAACGTAATGTTTGTTCAAAGATAATGTTCCTAATTTATAATTCAGTTTTGATCTAGTAACGATTCAATAATTTGATAGAAATACACGTAAAAATGATAAATAGGAACAATAATCATAATAATAATAACGTTATAGATTCCATTTGATCGGCCAGTATTAACATTGTGTCCAAAATTCTACTTGGAAAGATGTGAAAATATTTCATTAGATATTGGAAGTAGACACCATTCTTGTAGATATGTAGGTACTTATCATAGTGTTCTAATGTGTGACGATCGTTCTCCAAAACAATGCGTGCAACAAAAATGGACTCATCAGTTCAAAAGTCCACCTATCATGGGTCAGGTCATAAATAGGTAATGAACATTTGTTAAATATGATTTCATTAGATATGGATTAATATGCAGTTGTTTGCAGAGAAAACAAGGAATTTGTTGTCTTATCTAGCCAAGTACCTAGCGAAAGTACAATAATTTTAAATACTTGGACAAGTAGCGAGACTTCGCACTCGTTTAATTTTCCGTTTACTCCCCCTCATATTACAAATACGTTAAACGAATCTCAAACGCGTGGAACGTGTTTGAATCCATATTTGAGAAATAGGTTTGACTTGTGTAATATTGGTTCTACAGTCATTATAAACGAAACTGAAAATATATTTCTGTTTCAACAAAATTCAATTGGTACGGATTATTATACGTTTATTTCATATTTTATTTCATTCGTAACAAATCTTGTAACATACTCTGTTCAGGTGATATATATTACCAGTGCATAACACATGAGACTGAATTAGACAAATATTCACCCATTAACTCCAAGTCGTGTTATTTATTGGATGCTTGGGAAAACGCAATAAGTTTACAAACAGACACCATAGTACCCCTTACAATTTCTAACAAATCAAATATGCAACATGTTTATGAAAGTAAGTGTTGTTTGCGCGCCTCAAATACGATGTATAATATCAGAAATATTATTTAAGTACATTGACTTTTTAGACTTCACGAATAAAAAATTGCGATTAAGATGCGACGAACGTGAATCAAACGATTACTTCGAACCAAATTGGAAACAATCTATCGAAAAGTTGAACTCTTACATGGATATATTAGCACCGGAGCTTTTATCCGTGTGGGAAATATGTGAAGAGATTCCATTGCCTATAACAGCAGCACCTCATCAGAAAGTTCTAAACTGGTTGGAAACGGCAGATACGAAACCATTAATTCCCTCGCAGGAAGAATTAGACAATGTGGCAACGCCAATTAATACTCAAGAGTTAATAAGCGTGTCTCAAGAGGTAGATATAACTTGTTTGGATGACAGTAACGCGCTACAGGAATTATTGTTACCAAAAGTTAAAACTGCGCGTGTAAAAAGAAAAGGAAATATACGGAAGTAAAAAAAAAAAAGATACGAAAAATGGCGGGCGCGCCTGTGTGCAGAGTACACGGACTTAATCTTTTCACCAAAAACTTTTTTCCCCGTGATCGGATCTTTTTCTATTCCTCATTTGAAGGTTTTTCTATCCAATTTGACCCAAAAGTTAAAATTTCGATTTAACGATAAAAATTTATTTTCTAATTATTTTTTCTGTAAACCATACACAATGAAATAAAGTTACGAAGCCGATTATTTTGACATACGAAGTACTTGTTTATTTATAGCAAAAATTATACAATAATTACACGTAATATGCATTGGCAAAATGAATGAACATGTTAACAATGGTTTACAAATTTGTTTATTTTACAATGTTGCATATTCTATTATTTAGCGACTTCGAAGGAAAGATGGTTTCCACTTTGACGTAAGTACTTTACTATTTTCCTGTTGTGCTTTACTCTCTTCTTCTTCGATCTGCAACTAGAGTAATAAATTAAATTCATTTAATACACAAATATTATCGTAAGCCAATTACCATTAATTTTCGTTGGTTCTCTCTGAAAACTTGTAACGGATTATCGAATTGTCTGTAATAATTGAGGACATCTCGCACATCATCTACATTTGTTGCTAATATAGCTGAAAGGTGTGAATAAACAATTAAATATATAGATAAAATACATTTACGAAATTTGTTAAGATGGCTTACTTTTGAGGAATGCAGCTAAATCATACAATGTCGTGTCATCGTCGTTACCTGTCCATTGCGGTAATCTTAAAGTATTTTCAGGATGGAATTTTGTACTCTTTTCATTCCAATCGACTACTATAACCTGGCAGAAATATAAAACGAAACATGTTACCAGATTTTTAGCTTGTGCAAAGAAAGATGGATCATATACTTACTTTACTGAGATCACGGTTAAGGGCATCTAAATCTTTAACATGATGGCCATCTACAAAACGTGTTGTATCTCTCACTAGTCTGTACATGATATATCCATTAGGATCCAATATATCCAAGATAGGGAATACAGTCTAAACGTTGTATTAAACAAACGACATTATAATAATTCAAGCATGTTATTAATAATTTGATATCAATGTACGTGTAATCTATAAAATTACCAGTCCTTGTTCCGCTGTATACACAACAATTTCAAATTGCGGGGGAGCTACGGCTCGTAAAAATTGATCTACTCCAGGTCGCTTTTTAAACCTCCAGCCAGTTTCATACTAGATAATTCATCGATAGAACTAAATATTTATTTCGAAATTAATTAAATGCAATTTGTTACGCGTTACTTACCGTCCAGTCGGGATGGACAAGCAAATCCGTTAATTCCAGTACCAGGGTATAGGGGGGCTGCATGTAAGGATATTTAAGTGGATCTGGAAGTAACTTATCTCTGCTAGGTTCTTGAACCATCTGTAAAAATAACAGCGGCCGTCAAAGTGTTGACTGAATAAAAATTGGTGCGTTAAGTTTAACCCTACGGCAGGCGCGCTTTTTATCGTAAATCGAGCGCCTTTTTTCGTACTCTGTTGTACACGCGACGTTGATATTATGAAATTTTAACCTTTGAATCAAACAGATAGAAAAAAAGATCACGGAAAAAAAAGTTTTTCCCGCGGCCGCCGAAGGATTAAATACTCGATTTGGTAATTTTAATCACTCCATTTACGTTTATAAATTTTGTATTATTCTACGTGATAATATAAGGAGTATCTAGTAAGAATTTAGCACCTTGGAATAGTAATTAAATTCTCTCATAAGCCTTTTATACGCTCTTTCGTACATTGGTAAATTTGAGTATTCGTCTTCGATAGTATTGCCTTCATCGTCGTATCTTGTTTTTGTCAGATCGTATACTATGTAAGATAGGCCAACAGTTATAAATACACCAAAAAATGTGAAACTATACGAAAGCATTCTCTTTGATTGTTCGCGTCTCTGTTCTTTTTCTGTTTCTTCCTGTTCTTCTTCGCCAATCTTTTTGTTGTCCAACCCATCCTGTGCTAGGGACTGAACAGTTCCAACGGTCGATTGTATATTTGTTAAACTACCTGTTATTTTTGGTCGATTTGCTGCACAAAAGTATAGTTCATATATGTTTATTATTTAGATCGAAGCATTCACGTAAAAGCTGAATGATTAAGTACATGTCATTGGAATCTATTAATAGCATGTAGCATTGTTTTCACAAACAACGACTACCTTTTTATCGTATTTGCTATTTATAGAGACTTTTTTTAAAATATTAAGCATGCGAACCGCACACGTTCTGCTGTACAAGGTTATGTTACTTGCGTTTACTTACGCTCAGTGTTGTAATAATAGAGATGCACTGTTTGGACAATGGATTTTCGAGTAATCGGTAGGCGAGGTGTGGAATATATTGTGCCTGTACTTCCATTATATATTTTATATAAATGCCGCAAACTCCTTGTCGCAAATGCCATTTCTTTAAACAGGTCATGAGCTTTCTGGCAGATGTACACAGATATATATACACGCAACACGCAAAAAGATTGTTCTCATGTTTTCTTAGATCCCACACTCAACCGATGATTTAGGGATCTAATTTTTCAACGATCACTGAGCGACACGAATATGTGCTGTGCGTGACTAAAATTGTATAGTCCTATCCAGACGAAGTATACGAGTAGACCTTTCTACCAATGTATTTTTTCGGCCAATTTTTTATCGGGCTCCAGAGCCCCATTACCATTTTCGTGTCACTCGCAACGTTACCAACAGATTACAGAAATGAACAGAAGAGGAAGTGAGACAGAAAATGAAATTACAGAAACATTCCTGGCCACACATTATATTCTCGGTAAAACGATTTTTTCTCGAAAGTGCGTAGGATTTCGGTAGTTCGGTTTGTTATGACGAACTAAATACTGTATGCCATTTTAGTACAAAGTATGGGTCGGATTATAAATTTTTAAAGGATATAGACGAATATTTTTTCAGGTACAAACAGCGTTTTATTTTAGAACAGTCACATGAGTTAGCAGGTAATGTCATAAAACTGTTTTATCCAGTTATACCCTTTTTAAGGTACGACTACATGTACTTTTGAATTTTCCTACAGTCCTCCGCTGATCTCTGCTGACCGCTGCTGACCTTTCCTGGTATTTCTAACAACGCACAATGATTACTAATGACTTCTGCCTGCCTCCGCTGGCCTCTGCTGACCGCTGCTGACCTTTCCTGGTATTTCTGACAACGTATAACGATTACGACTGGCTACTGCTATCCTCTCCAGCCTCTACTGGCCTCTGCTGACCGTCCCTTATATTTCTGACAACCTGTAACGATTACTACTGACTTCTGTCTGCCTCTGCTGACCTTTACTGGCCGCTGCTGACCTTTCCTGGTATTTCTGACAACGTATAACGATTACGACTGGCTACTGCTTGTCACTGCTTGCCACTGCTGGTCTTTTCTGTCCACGGCTAGCCTCTGCTGGCCTCTGCTGACCACCCCTGATGCTTCTGACAACGTATAACTATTACTACTTGTTACTGCTGGTCTCTGCATGCCTCTGCATCCCTCTGCTAGCCTCTGTTGGCCCCTGCTGACCACTGCTGACCTTTGTTATCAACTTCTGACATGATGTATAAGTATTCAAGCCTTGTATAATGTAAATCTATGGCAATAAATGATATAATTTAACAGAATTCTATGTGTTCTCATCATTTTTACCTTTCTTTTCCTCTCCAGATCATTGCCTTAGGTTTAAGAGACCGTTTTTCCGGTTAAAATTGGATTCCCAAAGTGTCCAGCCCTCGTACTTGCTGCCAAAATCAAAAATTAAAAGTCCTGAAACAATTGGAAAGTCCTGAAACAATTGGAAAAGTCCTGAAACAATTGGAAAGTCCTGGAACAACTAGGAAGCCCTGAAACGCCTTGGAATTTTGGGGCCAGCTGGAAAGTCCTGAAACAACTGGGAAGTCCTGGAATTTCTTGGAAACCCTGAATTTTTAGCAAAGTTCTGAGTTTCAGGACTTCCGAGGTGTTTCAAGACTTCCTAGTGGGTTCAGGGAGTCTTATAACTAAGGTAATGATTTGGAGAGGTAAAGAAAGGTAAAAATGACGAGAACACATAGAATTCTTTGAAATTATAACATTTATTGCCATAGATTTACATTATACAATGTTTTAATACATATATATCATGTCAGAAGTTGTTAACAAAGACCAGCAGTGGCCAGCAGGGGCCAGCAGGGGCCAGCAGAGGCACGCAGAGACAAGCAGAGACCAGCAGAGACCAGCAGGGGCAAGCAATAGCAAGTTGCAATCGTTATACGTTGTCAGAAGTATGGGGAATGGTCAGCAGCGGTCAGCAGGGGTCATCAGGGGACAGCAGAGGCAAGCAGAGACCAGCAGGTGCAAGCAGTAACATGTAGTAATCGTCACACGTTGTCGGAAGCATCGGTGGTGGTCAGCAGAGGCCAGCGGAGGCCAGCGGATGCCAGCAGTGGTAAGCAGAGACCAGCAGGGTCAAGCAGTGGCAAGTTGCAATCGTTATACGTCGTCAGAAATATAAGCGGAGGTCAGGAGAGGCCAACAGAGGCTGGGAGAGGCTGGCATTAACCAGTAGTAATCGTTATACGTTGTCGGAAGTATCAGGTGTGGTCAGCAGTGGTCAGCAGGGGCCAGCAGAGGCAGGCAGAAGTCCGCACATGCCGACAGAGGTTAGCAGAGGCCAGCAGAAGTCAGCAGAGGCTGCGAGAGGCTGACAGTAGCCAGTAGTAATGGTTATACGTTGCCAGATATATCAGAAGTGATATCTGAAATAGCATGCATATGTACGCTCATACATAGGAATAATAAAAAAAATATTTCTCTTTTTTCAATAGTTAAACTATGATCAGGGGGTCTTAAAACGTTTATTTCCGTAAGAAAAATTTCACAAAATTTTGTTTTCATCATGGTACTTTGCTTATGCGCGCCTACATGGGTCGGAAAGTAAAAATGCCTGGGCAGTCGTGATTCCAAATCGTATGCCGTTGATGCGAGGTTGGATGTCAGTTGTTCAAGAGCGAGAAGGCAAATGTGAGCCTTCCTCTTTCGACTACCACGAGACGGCCCGAAATTACTTCGGGCAGTTTCGGAGAATCGAGAAAGAGGGCGTGTGTCAGTTTGCCTTTGTCGACTCTCCGAAACTCTACGAGCTCACGTACGCGTGATCTGGCATAGTGTGAGTAATGCACCCGGTGCTCAATCTTGCATCACTCTCTAGAGCCTCAGAAAAACGGGCCGAAAAAATACATTAGGCGAAGGTGAAATGTCTACTGGTATACCTCGTCCGTGGTTATACCATGACATGGAGTTCGCTGCGAGTGTTCGCAACATGTAGTTTATCTAGTGTTTACATAAATCGACATGGATATTCAAACAACAAATACACGAAGGAAGATATTAAATCATGTAGTTTGTAGTATTCTAGTGGAATGTGGTTATGAAACATGTGATAAACAAGCGTTAGAAACTCTTACCGAAATGCTACAATCTTGTAAGAATTTAAATCAAGTTTAGTGCCCTTAACCTCTTAATATTATACAGTTTAAACTAATCGTCTCTATTCTCTTTTAGCGTGTTATACTTTATTTGTCATCGACTGAATAAATACCCGATTACTCGCAAAATTGAACGTACACTCACTATACAAATTTTATTCGATTTATAAATAAGAAGAGCAATGAAGATTTGTTACACAGCTATTGTAAAGGTGAATTTTTAAAGAATATTGAAAAAACAATAAGTAGAAAATATTAGAAATTAAAATTATTAATCGTTATATATAAATGTTGTACTATATAATCATTTTTGTATTGCATTTCACTATTCCTATTAATAAAATAAGATTTTTGTAGCATGTGTATGCTCAAATTTGTGAGCAACTATATTTCTATTTCTATATTCTATAAAGAAAGACACATTAGTAAGATAGCTATTAAATTTGTTATATTTGAAATATTTAAACCATGTATAAACTGTTTACAGTTATTGTAGAAGTTGGAGAGTCTGCCCGGAATTATTGTGAACTTTCTGGTAGAACAGAACCACTGATTGCAGATATTATAGTAGCAATGATAAATATGGGGATAAAATTGGATAATATAGAAACATATGGAAAGAGATCAAACAGAACTGTTTTACCACCGCTTCAGCAACAAACTCAATCAAAGCAATTAAACATTTTACAGGCTGGAGTGAAACAGGGTCATCCGTCTCATATACCAAGTTACTTACCAGCTTTTCCTGATCCACATGCATACATTAGAACACCGGTATAGTATAATTACTGATATTAATTTAAATATGACAATTCAATACAGAAAAATTCCGATTATTTGGCATATTTGTAACTGGGACAATTCCGGATAAAAACGAAGCGATAAAAGCGAGGAATCAGACCATTTTTATGGGGTTTTTGTCGTTTTACGGGGTCAAGCAACAACTTGTCGAATATTCTTTGAATTTCTACATATTCTTCGCCAAAATACGCGTTGTTTGCATTTTGAAACATTAAAATCCTCCGATCCGTTCAGAAGTTATGATGTCTCAAAGATGCGCATGAAATTTCGGGGTACCATTTCTGACCGTCACGTTAGATTTTCGGTAAGGAATTTTTTTCTCGAAAGTGCGTAGGATTCCGGGGGTATGTGTGTTCACCAAAAATGATTGTAATCGACCCCCGCAACTAAAAATAATTTTTTCAGAACGATTTGAAATTTTTTTTTTCGCCGAAAAATTTAGGCGCCAACCTACTAAATTATTTTCGATTGCAGGAGTCAATTACAATCATTTTTTATCAATAGGGGGTAATTTAGGCACCTACTCTATTGGAACAATTTGTTTGTTTTGTATAAAAATTATTGATTACCTTGTTTACTGTTAAACAGACGCATAAACAGCCAGTAACAGAGTACGAAGCTATAAGAGAAAAAGCCGCGACGCAAAAGCGCGATATTGAAAGGGCACTGACAAGGTTTATCGCAAAAACAGGGGAAACGCATAGTCTATTTTTAACAGAAGATAATAGCATGTTCCCATGTAAGTAATTTGGATTCATACAATTATTGTTCATTTGTGATTATTTTAACAATCAAATGTTTTGTATTTCCAGTAATATCGTGTAAACCACAATTCCCTAGTTATCTATCTGCCCTTCTTCCACAAGATCAAGTGTTTGAAACTGATCAAGACTTTCAGTTCGAACCGAGCCCAGTGAAAAAGAAAAAGGAACAAGAAAAAGAAGAGAAGGACGAAGGTCCGACTTTGTCATAAATAAATGTCAACCAGTTTAAAAATTGAAAAACAATCGATTCATAAAATTTGAAATGATTTCTAGGTATGAAAGGACAAACTGAAGATGCGGAACACAACGGGGAAACCACAGCGCAGCAAGATGCCATAGATAATCCCTATTTACGACCGGGGAAAATACCAAAGAATAAGATGCCGGGAGCTACAGTGCCTGGTTTACACACAATGAAACGGGATCCACTCGAATGTTAATTCGATGGAGACAGTATTGTTTTTAATAATATTAATTATTGTATTAATATCGTGTACATAATGCTATTATAATATAAAATCTTAATTCATAAATTTTATAAGTTTGTATCATATAATAAAAATTACTCTTTATTATAAATAATTTTACACAAAATTATTATAAACTGTATTACCAAAATTAACTCTGACTGCAGAAGACTTTGACGCGCAAAGTGGTCACAGTGTCTTGTGAATTTATACCGCGCGCAATGCACTAATAAACTGAACGTCGGTAGTATATGCCAGTATTTCTCAGACTTTAAAAATTTAATTAGTTGTATAATACCGTCATTTTTTTTTTCTGACAGTTTATGAACCAACGAGACATCTTAGATTACAGTTTGAGGAATACTAGCATACGGTGACCGACTTTGTCGAACACCTATAAGCGTCAATAATATTAATAGGGTTAATATTACATATTACAAATATTCCAACTTTGTGTTACATAGTATCTTTCGTACTAGTATTTAATCTACAATTTTTAACATTACATTATTAAATTGATTCCACATATTTGGTTTAATATTGCTCACTCTCATGTTATCTCGCAATATTTCGTATTTATATTGCACGCATATTAGCACCAGTTTGAAAAAAAAAAAAAAAAAATTAAGATTACAAAGACAACTATATAAATTCTCTAAAAAGGGACGATTAGATAAAACTTATAAAAATAGATTTCCTTATCGATAGTATTGCATGTTAAGATCTATACGTGTATATTGCGGTAAATAGCATCTATTAAAATTATATTCGCGCATTTCGATTTTGTAAAAATACATCGTACTATCCTGGATCAGTTGCATTTTTTCATAAATATAGATAACAATTTTTTGCTCTAGTAATTGTGCCGATGTTAGGTCGATATTAGATACGAAGTACACTTACTGTCCATACACGCACAAATATTATAGCAACCTTGGTAATTCGTATAAGGCATAAGCTCTATCGTCTCTACTTAATTTTTATTTTTTTTAATTAGATTGAGAGAGATAGGCTTCGAAATACATCGTCTGAAAATACTTTTAGATTATATTCCAACAATTGAGATATGTTTCCCAATTCGCGTGAAGTACCTTTCTAATATTAATCACTAGCTCGTTTTGCAAGTTACAAACTATAAATTTTATGCAATGAATATATTAATTGTCAGTACGTTTATAAATATATATATATATATGGGTTATTACTTACAAGGATCAAAACTCAGATGCATAGAACAGATTTAATCTTACCTAATAATACGTCGATACGTATTACGTTCTTTATGAAAATAAAATCCATTACTTTGCAAGTTTCATTTCTCGGTATTTCAATATTTTAACAGATAAAAAAAAAAAAATTAAAAAAATAAGAAAAATATGTATAAATTGTTGGATATATCTATAGAGAGATCAAAATAAATTAAATTAATTTTAAACACCTGAATGTTGTTCCTTATTAGAACACGTTTTTTTTAAATATATCATGTATAATTGATTATATTTTGTTGTTAGGAAGTCTTACCTATTTGTTCTAATTCATTTTCGTTATTGCAAAACGTAATTCAGTATTGGTACCATGGTTGACGTCGCACCCAACGTAACTTCATACCGGAGGCAGTGCGTATTTTTATGCTCGCACACTCGGCTGCACGAACGGTTTCCTTCACACTTTGCATAAGATTCTGAGCATTTCCGACAAGCATGTCCGTTGCTTCTTGATCTTCTTCCGTACCTGTACGTTTAAAATACAAATTAAGTATTAAATATATATCAAATTTGAAAGAAGGATTAAAAGTAATTCTCATACAATGAAAATAATCATTTCTATCACTGGCTTAATTCTATAATGTTTATAGTACATTAATAACAAATAGTAGAACAATAAAAAGAAACCAAATCAAAACAAACGAACTTTAAAAATTACAAGTGTATTAAGGGACATAAAATATGTGATAAATCTATCACTTACAGGAAAAACAAATGCTACTGTGATGTATTGCATGCAATACATGAGTGCTAATAATCTTTTAATTTTTAAAACACATTTTACGTGTCCATTTTAGAAGATAGAACTGGGCATATATTAATTAAAAACTCATGCACAAGGGACAAATCTAAACTATTTCCACTGACAATGATGAAATAAATTATACAAATAATTGTTCTAATAATGTCAACGTGAATGAGTTTGTTTCATTCTAAACTAATTTGATGATAAGTGAAATGTTATATATAGGGAATATTTTACGAGTACAATGTCGTTTCTTAACTATACACAACGTTAATTTTCACATATTGTCTATTATTGTCAACTATATTCTCTATGCTACCTTATATTTATTTCATAATAAACTTACTGCACCCGATCAATTCGTCTACACCGTGATGAGTAGAAGCATATCAACCGCAAACCATTTAAAGTTCAAATAACATATCAATAAGCAATAGTTTAAGAATCAAGAGATTAAAAGATAACTTTCGCATTACAACCAGTGGACTCTTTACGCATTATATTTTGAACTTCTTCTATTCAAAAATTAACATACACGTAGCTGCGTTTGAAGTAAACAAATTAATCTTATTCATTAAACTGTTTTTTCCTTTTTGTCTTTAACGGGGAAGACTAAAATATGCATGCATTGTATTGCAAGTGCAAAACTGTCAAATATGAACATAAATTAAACAAAATAAATACTAAAGAGAACGGTAAAGACATCAAGCATAATTTATTAACTTTTTTACCATAAAGCATCAACTCTTCCCAGGTAGGGAGCGTCTCTATGTATGAAAATTTTTATTAATAATCGTTTATTTAAAATGTTCTTTTTAAGATATAGAATTATACTCTCCCAACGTCCATTAATTTATATCAGTGCGCGAATTGTATTATTATCGCAAGAAAAGAATATACAATTCTAAATTATACATAAATTTTTGTACTATACCTTGTGCACCTAACATTGTAGCTTTTACAGTTGATAGTATCTTCAACTGGGTACCTATGGTAGGTATACGTTCGCAGACTTGGAGGAGGTTCTAGAAAATAAATATAAGAATTGTACATTTAAAGCATACGTGACAAGCGTTGTACAAAACATTTTTAAATGGAAATAAATTATGAACGTACGGTACGAATACGTTTGTCGGTACATTCCCTGGCAAGTTCCTTCGCTAAACGTGTCACTTCCTGAGAAGCTTCCGCAATGGCTTTAGCGCAAGCTATTAAATCTCTTTTGTTGCCGCCTTCTCCTCTGACCAAACCTGACAATCTACCCATCAAAATGGCCATCTTTTTCGCAGCAGCAATGATCTCGTTATCCTTGCTCGACCATTGTCGTACTTCTTGGTGTAATCCATGGGCGGCCATCTGCGTTTTACAAAATAGAAATTGCGTTGAAATTGCGTTTTGCGAAATAGAAAATCGAAAGGAAAATTTTATTTACCATTATGGGCTGATTAGGTTGCGGCGCGTGCATAAACATTTCGTCTTCGTCGTCTGTTTCTGGGGGTGGAGGACGAGGGGGTGGAATATCTCCACCAGGCAGTGGCGGACGCGGTGGAGCAACTTCTGTATAACATAATTAAAACTGCTTATAGCAACCGTTTTACCAAACAGAAATCTGTTGTCCCCATAAGAGACTTTTGTTTAATACATACATTTTATACAGTAAAATTTAACATACCATATACACGAAGAAAAATGCAGGGATTTCATAATTACCATCATTATTGTCATAATTGCAATAATAGCCTATCATTCCACGCAGCGTTAAAAGTGTAAATACATCGTTAGAAGGCTCGAATCGCACATCGATACAAAAAGTATTTTAGTATGCATGCAATAACAAAATATGGCATACAATTTGTGAGTAATATATTAATAAAAATTTCGACACTTTGATACGATCATTCAAAGTTAACTATGTATACTAAAAATGTTGTTAGTATGAAAGATGAATCTTTGGATTACTAAAACCATACTGTTTTTAATTTGATATAATATAATTATGCAGTGTTGTATTCTTTATTTTCTTTTTTTTTTTCCAGTTTTAAAGAATAGAAATTGAACCAATGTACATTTAATTTTAAATAACACATGCTTCTTTCCCACAAATGAAAAGAATTTTTGAGCGTTGAAAACTTGCAGTTTTCAGACCCAAAAAGTACTAATTTTAAATTACCTCCATTGTGAACTGATTTTTCTAACTCGTTGTCAGAAGCCAGTTCTTGATATAGGAGATCAGGGTTATCTCCTGATAAAAAAAAAATTATTAACTTTTGTATCCTAACGCCAAAGAACGAATTGCCTCTGCGATTTGTACGTTCATATCCAGCTTGAGGTTTAATTTTATTACAGAAGTCGTTTAAGCGAAATACAATAAAAGACGTACTCGATTTAAAATTTGGCTTATTTTCTTTTGATGAATAGTAAATACCTTCACGCGCCCACTTTGGTAATGGGCTGAAAGAGCGACGTTGGGGTTTATTTGTATTCAGACTAGGACTGATGACACATAAATTGCTTGGCGATGGCTGATTTCTTAAAGGCTCGCCAACTAGTATTTAAAGAAATAGTTACAAGTGTTCAAATTTGTTGTTACAATTAAAAAATAAAACAGAATATAAAAATGCTAAGATCAAGATATCTCGTTTCACCAAATCGGGAATAAACGTCATGTTTTACTACATATTATTTTGTTTGCTTGAAATGTAGCACGAATTTATTATTAAAGACAATATTTTTTTACTTAAAACATTATCATCATTTCTCATTTGCGTATATTTAATAAACTGATAAAAATGAAAGTTTACTAATACAATACGATGATTAATCATGCATAAATGATCTTCATGCAAGCATATTATACCTTTGTCTGTGAAGTAATTATATTGACGGCTTGGCAATTGTTTGTCTGGAAGAAATATGTTAAGGAGATTTACTTTAAAAAGAATTCAAAATTTTATCGTGATATTTATCTTGTGATAGATAGATCTGATCTATATCTTTGAATTACAAAACGTAGCTGTTATGAGGAGAAACTGAAAATTACATGGTAGCCAATATTTATGAAACTTAAGCCAGTAACCAAAAAAAAAACAATGAATGACTTCAGATAAATTATCTTTTGAGTACTTTAAAGTGTGAAAGAATACACCATGATGTTATAAATATAAAAATGTTAAAAACTTCTACGATTTAAGCGCTAAATACCTTCTCCAAAGTAATCTCTATTAAGCACATCATTTTCTACGTAACATAAAATTATTTAATATGTTTAAAACGAATTTTTTGTACTTACCATCATTTAGATGTAATTGCGATACTTCTGGCGGGGGTATGACATCAGGTTGAATTACAATAGCCTTACGAACTTGTCCAACGTTAGCCAAGAGCTGCAGGAGGCGAGATTATATTAAATAAAACAATAACAAGAAATTTTACAAGGGTCATTCAATGGCTATGAAACTTGAACAATATATTTTATAATACTTACTGCACGATTGCTTTCCCTCCAACGGGAAACAGCATTACTGTCGTTGATGTTAATTGCAACCAATTTAGCATCTTGAACCATTGGCGCTACACCTGTATAAAAATAATTTTTATCTTTCTCGTTGCAATATTTATGCAATTAAACTTCAGCGGAAAGCTTCGGTATGAGTTACCCGTGTAAATTGAGGAATTATTATACTGTTAAATAATCATATCGCTCACTATTTTGAAGAATATCCGTAGCATGGTTCACCCTTTGAATAAACGCAGGATCTTCGCTATTATCGCTTTCTTGTTTCGCTACAAGTATCACACGATTAGCCAATCTGGCAATAGCAGCCGTATTGTCAACCATTTTTTGCGGATGACTCTTGGCAATAGCCTCTTCGCAGAGGAATGAATGTTTCTGCATTTGTTCCTCGGAGGTTCTAATAAAATCTCCACTGTCTGTTGCTTCGTCGCATAATGCTCGTGCCCTTTGCATCGTTTCCGCAAACTGTTGGCGCAAATTTTCAAAATGTTCGTCCGCTGCTTTACTATCTGGATACGTCATGCGAATTCGTCCAGCGTTAATCAATTGCGGCGTTAATGATTCAACTTGCGAAGCACTTGCAGTCAATGCTTCCGCTAATTTCTTGTTTCCCCCGCTTCCTACAATGTGATCGAAAACAGAAGTAATCAAGCTAATAGAAATCGAACAAAAACGTGAAATATGTTTACCGTAACGATATTAATATTATCATAAATAAGACTTTATCAAATTTGAAATTTTTCGTGCAAAACGATATAAAAAATTGATTAGTATTTTTATGTACCGCCAGCAGCCACCATTCTGGCTGTCTTTGCTGCTCTGTTAGAGAATGTTTGAAGGGCATGTGTTTTATCATTGAAGTTTTGATCGCGTCCTGGAGTGCCCTCTGGAGCTAATACAGCATCCGTAAATTGTTTCAGAGGAGTTGTTATGTCGATAAAATCTTCAACCACCCTGGATACAACTGCCTGTTGTATTCTATTTTTCAACTCATACAGTTTATGCGATAATTGACGGGCGATATCTTGAGCGCGAGGTGTATTTCCTTGACCATGGGCGCATAGATCACCAAGCTGATGAGAAAGATTGTCGACTTCGTCGCATAGTTGCAGAATCTCTGCTTTATGTATGCCTGGCAAACCCTCGGCAACCTAATTTTTAGAGTATAAACCAACTAATAAACATGACAGAGATTAGAAGTGTATTGCATATAAATATCATCATACCGATAATTCAATTTGATTACAATGCAATTTATAATAAATACTCGCTATGTTACACGTAACTTACGCTTGCTACGTGTTGCTGATTCTATCCGTTTGCGGCATTTAAATTATTAAAGTTGAATGATAAACCTCTAAACTAATAACTAGACTGTACCTAGATATTTCATACAAGAGAATTTGAAATATCGCATACAATATCATACCTTCTTTCCTTCGTGTATAATCAATGCTATAGCCCTTTGGCCAAGTCCTTTGTCATCGTGTTGAGGATTCAGAAGCCATTTGTTGGCTTGTTCTAAACGGCCTGCAACCGTATGCGCGGTTTGTGTGGTTCCAGATTTATCAGCAGCTTCTATAGCGCAGGCAATAGAACTGCGAAGCTCGTTCATCTTCTCTTTAATACCACGTGCTAACACTTCCGCTTGTGGCGTGGTTTCTTTAAACGTAAAAGTATCGAAGAAGAGTTAATAAAGACACACATGAAGTGTACAAACATTCTATGCACACATTATTATTAAAATAAATAAACAAACCTCTTTCATTTTGTCGCAATTCGCAAAGAGCGTTGGTCATAGTAACAATTTCTGAAGTTAATTTATTCAATGGCTCTGCTTGAGACGGAGGAAGATATCTTTCTGCTAAACGTTGCGCTTGTTCAACTATTTGACGGAGACTCTTTTCTCCTACTCCACCGCGCAAAGCAAGTCCATCATCCAACCAATCATAAGCAGCCCGTATTCGGGATTCTATAGCACTCTGTGCCTTCTTCAGAACCTAACAAGCGATTAAAAGTTTAAATATTTTGTTTATTATCGGTTTTTTTTAAATACCTACTGTTAACTGATCAGCATCCCACTCTTCTTCATCATATGTTGTCAACTGTAACACTCTGATAATTTCATTTAATTCATCTGACATTCTACTGGACAGATAGTTCCTATTTTCTGCTGCCTCTTCTGCTCCCTTGCCCCCTTGAGAGATAATATGGATGAAAATTTTCATAGAGCAGATAAGAATTGGCGCAAGTGTTTTCACCTGTTAGGTAAATAAGTTTCAATATACATAGCGTGCATTAGTAATAATAAATATATACAACTTTATTCTATGCTTACTTGCTCCAAACAGCGTACAAGAATCTCTCTATGCACTTGATGAGTCAGCTCTTTCTCGCGGGCACTTACTTCTTTCGATACTTTACTGAGACAAGGGCTTAAATTCTTAAGAAAATGAACTAAATCCTCCATTGTTTCAATAACTTCGGTTACTGCCAAATAATCTAATACTCTTTTACATTCTCTGATAATTTTGCGTACTTCACTTTCATCGAAACAAAGCAACAACGAACTAGTTCCTTGAAGGATACCGCGAGAACCTTCTATAAGCTTTTTTCTAAAATTGAAGAAGCAATTTTATGAAGAGTACTGGTACTTTATTAAAGATAATAAGAAATGGTAATAATTTTAATACCTAGCTGGTCCAGAATATGGATCTTGTTTTAACATAGCCGATGCTTCTTCCAACAATCGAGAAGCACCTTCAACGCGTTGTAATGCACCAGGCATATCTTGTTTAAGCAATGCATCGTCAGAAGAATTTATTGTTTCTTTCCCAACCTGTCCACCAATGATATTTATTTAAGTGAAAATAAATAAATATCAAATAAAAATTCTTTTGTTTGTACAAAAGTAAATTACCTTCACAAGATTTGCCACAGCCATACTAACTGCTTGTACAGGTCTACCCAAATCAGGCATTGCATTTCCATCTTCAGCTTCTTCATGTAAAATAACAAGCCTCGAAACCTATGTTTAATTATATGTATGTATGAGAATACATATTATTAATATATTATGATATTGTTCATATTTATATATTAAGAAGAAATAAACCAATCAGATTAATAAGTTTTATTTACATATTATTATACTTATAATATGAAAATATTTAATTTTAAATCTATTGAAAAAATTTTATTGCAAAATAATAAATAGGTTTGTATATATTGTGCATTAGCATTGAAGTATAATATTAACATATTCAGAAGGACTTTTGATACAATGTATATTGGTACATTTTTGTATGTGTGATACGTGGGATGATATGATGATAGGTAACTTCATCTGTCCTTTTTTGGAAGTACTAGGGATCTTGGATGGTTAATAACGTTTCATCTTATAATTTAACAAGCAAAGGGATTGAATTTCATAAATCTAAGCTCCCAGACCTAAAGATGAATTTAGTATCCCTGTCCTATATTTGTAGAATGATGTCATAGGTCTATATAAAGAAACATAAGTCACTTGGCAATTTGACTCATCATAAATATAATCATTCATAATAATTAATGTCAATGAAATCGAATTATCTGTATACTTTCTAAAAATAATGTATTTAATTATTCTTTGACAGATTTCCAGTGTATACAAGCAAGTTATATATAGATGTTACATGAAAAGCACAGACAATATTTACAGTACGTTCCAAATATGTATCTTCGAAGATAAACAATTCTTTTGAGAATAATATCTTAATTAATTAGTTACTTTTATTAAATATTACACTTCTCGATTCAGTCTTTTCGCCCCTTTTAAATAAAAAACGGAAATAACGAGTTGGTGAGATTTTTCGAAACGTTAAAATATTAAATATTTTTTAAAAATCTAATAATTAAATAATTGTAGAAATAAAAGGTGAATATAATTACCTGCTGTGCTACAGGCTCAAGAATACTTTCTATAGTTTTCGTATGAAATACCGGCATCTTGATGACTTTTCTTACGAAAATGTGGAAATACTGACTATTCGATTGTATTTACACGAACAAATTTTCGTTGAGAACGCAACGAAGAAGCTTCGCGAGAAAACATCAACAACACATCAGATAATCCAAAAATAATTCACAGTGAAAACAATACGAAACAATACGAACGACGTGATCGAATCACGGTGATCCGTGCAACGGCAAGAATGTATTTCTGGCTGTGAATGCTGTGATGGATCACGAATCACGATCAAAGATCTCGTAGAGAGCCTCGAGGCTTGAACAGTGTGGCTGATACGCGCGAGAATTGTTCTCGACTCTGGTTGGCCACTTCAAATAATATTCGGAATTTCAAATACAGACCAGCCCAACCTAATTTGATTCCATGCTTCTTCCGATGATTTTTAAGTAGAAGTATATATTTTCATTTATATAAGCTTGTAGCTCATTTCGTGACGAATTCATTGACCTAAATATGTTGGTCTTTCAAGGATATTCAAGTTCATTTATTCAAGTTTCAATTTATTCAAAATTTGCCTTCGTTGAATGTCTCCCAGTCCAGACTTCCTTTATCGGAATACATTCTGGAATATTACAATCTGTCGTAAGGCATAAAAGTTTTCCGATTGGTGGAATGACGTCGATGACTCCTTATTAGGAGAATGTAGCGTTTCCTGTCTAGCGCCATATATGCCAATACGTGCTCCGTGATCTTGCGACATTAATAGTATCACTTATCATTTCTACTTTTGTTTACAAACGGAAGTTTCCTGTTGTTAGCGTGTATCCAGTCATTTCGAAGGAATCAGTATTGTTATAAGTAGCATAACAAATTCTTCTTTTCGATAGCGATTACATACACCTAACGAAATTGTCGATACAATTTAATGATGAGAGATTTCCAGGTCATCAACATTCGTGTGATATGATAATTTGATACTGTTAATTTCGTTGTTGACGGCGCCAAACTGTAATTTTATGTTGAAATGTCATTCCTTTTCTTTTTTTTTTACATAATCTTTTCTAATGAAGCCACTTTCAAAAGCAGTGGAGTACATGTTCTAAAACTTCAAGTTCTATTTAAATTATTTGTCAAGATTAGTTTATTTAATACAAATTTTTTAACAGATACAGCATGGATATTTAATGATTCCAAAATCAGTAACAAAATCAAGGAGATAGGAGAACTCAACATCTTTCGTTTCAAGATAAAATAATTATAAATAATATAGAGCTGGGTACATAATTAAGCTATTAAAAATACCAATCTGAAATTACAGATTCAATAAATCTCTATTGAATTCTGTTTCATGCTCAAACATTGTAACTACTTCCTGCTTCATACAAAGTTATAATACTATTGTATGCATTAAAAATATGTCTCTTAAATTTCGTAAATTTTTATATCAATGTTTTCTTAGAAATTTGGTAGACCAACAGTTAGTTGCACTGGCATGCGAAGGACGGGTTACTGTCTTCGCAGCCACAGGAACAACATTCGCAAAATTCATCGTCGCTATTACTATCTTGCGCGTGTGGGTCCATATGCAGTTTTGAAGCAGTAGGTTGGTACTCGTCCGACGGATCCAATAGCGCATCGCTGCAATTACACTCTGCATCTGATAGCCCTAGAGCACATTTACCCTTGCAGTTGCACCTGCAGTTTCCAATCCTTGGATAATCCTTACAAGACATTGAAGGACAAATTTCACAGAGATTTCCAAGATTACAGGGTGGTATGAATGGTTTGCACGATTTTCGAATGCCTGTATGATAGAGTTAAAATTAGTTTTTACTCCTAACATTGAAAGATCCCCTGCATTACGTACCATGATCCGCGGCTAGGCAACGTATTAGCTCGCAAAGTGGTTTCGTCGATGGAACTGTAGATTGGGAACAACCCTTGTACAGTTTATTGCAGGGGATATCACAAGGTAGGACGAATTTGCCAGCGCAAAGTTTAGTTTTGGTCTTGATCTTTCGATGATCTCCCGATTTCATGGAGGATGGCGGTGGACACACCGAGTGTCCACAAGGTTTACAAGACGGAATTGTGTATCCAGTTTTATTCGATTTAGATGGTTTATCGTTGATCTCTTTTACATTTTTCAGTTCTCCCTCGGAACTGTGCAATTGCGCCGATTTCGCAAGCTCCTACAATGAGATTAAACGTATACCATCGATATATTGCCTGCAATGATAAAATCAACTTTATTTTTACGCTATTCTCAGGAGTCGGCAACGTAATCGTTTCTTCGTCCTTCAAAGACGTGACTTCTTCCGCTTTCTGATTGCCTGACCACCAATTCGGCATCCACGAAGATTTTTTCTCTATCTTTTCTTTGGGCTCCTTTTGCTTGACGACATGATTTTGCTTATCTTTAATGTCGTGCTCGGAAGTAGAGACTATTGCATCACTTTGTGTCTGTGTCTGCATAAAAACGGAAACAAATTATTGTATTAATCGCTAAACTATGTACGAAGTAAGCAAAAATATGATCCTACCCGTTCGCTTTCGCTGACTACATCGATTTCTTCTTTTCCGAGTTTTTTCTTTGAACGATGTCCGGTTGGCTTGTGCCGCAAACATTTTTTAGGAATACAGCATATGTTTTTACCGCTACAGTCCATATCTTGAAGACAACCGATTACTTTACGTCTATCGCAAACATTTTGATACTCTCTGGACGTCAACAAGCGGTCCATGTGTTCCTTAAACAACGTCTCTTTCAACTCCAACTCCCTGATGCAATTCTTCAAACATAACTCCTCTTTAGCCAGTTGACGAATCTTCGATAAACATATCAGGTCTTCGGAATGGATGGAATGAAGACTGGGGGAAGTGTAACTTCCCACCTCCTTCTCCAAATTGTTCAAAGTATCGTTCATCTCTTTGTTCGCAAGTTCCAAGGATTCAAGCTCCATGTCAGTTTCCTCCAACTTAACGTCCGCTTGAATAATTTTCTCCTGCAATTGCGTATGTTACTTTTATTGAATATCTTATACGGATAACAATTAAACGACGATTGTATACAATGAAGTTTTGGGCTGGATGCGTAAATTCCAGCACACTGGCAAGATTTACCCGAATTAATCGCTGAATTTCAATCGTTCCGTACATGCAACTCCGTCGTCTCCCCGTGAAGTTCCTTTACGGTCTTTTTCAAGTTGCCTAGGAGCTTCTCGGTCGGGTCCGGATGTGTCGAGAATCTCTTCATGATGTTCCGAACTTTACAATACGGCGCGTCGTCGCACATATCTTTGGCCATCCACATATTGTACGCTATCAGCGCTGGGATCGAGCGTTCCATCGTCGTGATTTTGTCTCTCAGATACTTCTGTCTACCTGCATGTAGCAAACACATTTAGTAATTATTATTTTCTCTATAGAAGCGACGCTCTAGGGGCTCAACGGTCGGCTGTAGCGTGGTCTTGATACTTTGTTGACGGCAGGGATAGGGGAGGTGTACCCCTACGTGACGCATCCCCAGGTGGCGGATGAGGGCAGCCGCTGGGATGGGATGCAGGGATGAGGTCATCAACCTGAGAAGGCTGGTGACCGCATCTTTGCATGGCATCCCGGAGGTCGGAGCAAAAGCTCCCGCGGACCAAACATCGGTGTAATTGTGTGTGTGTGTGAGTCGACTGGGGCATGGGATATTTGCTGCGGGTTTTATCTAACGCCGCAGGTTGGCCAGTCGGCTGCGGGTGAGTCTTAGTCCCATGTCTCGCCGCGACAGTCACGGGGCCGCTGGCGCTAGTGACCAGGCGCCTGCGGTTGAGTGGGAATGTAGTGGGGGTAGTGCCTCTCACCGGGAGGGTTAGGTGCGGCGGGGGACTCTGTGATGGCTCAATAGAGTTCCCGGCCCCTCGCCAGGCGCTTGAGGACGGTCACCGTGGGGTTTTAGCCGGTAGGAGTCCGGCACTACCCCGAGGCCCCCCCTACTTGGGGCCTTGGGGTGTCCATGAGGATTTCCCCACGTGCAAAAATAAAACAAAGGGTTCTAACGGCTTGCTAACCTATTAAGTCGCAGCGTCGTTCCTCCATTTTGGTCGTGATGTCTTCAAAGTACCGCGAGCCAGGCTCGGGTACTTGTATATCCGTCTTAGAACCTGAAAAACAACGTACAGGAAAATAATCGTACTAATTATCTTTATTAGGCGTGAAACATTCGCTCGAATAATGTTGCTCACATTTACAACGAGACATCTTGTTTCGAGGACGTGGGCGTCTGTTCCAAATAAGATCGATGACTCTATTGCTATAATTTTTCCATATGTTTTATCTTCGTTACAGAGAAATTGGTAATCAGGTATTTTCGGTAATCTTGTTCGGAAAATTTTGATATTATGTGAACGTTAAGTTTCGTCTTCGGTAGCTGCCATTAACTCAAAAAGTTCCGCCATGCGTACGATTAATACAGTTATATAAATTTTCATATTTTTAACAAAATGTCGTTTACATCGTGCTTTCAAAGTTCGGTTTCATTTCAATTTTTTAATCGACGCGGCAATTTCACGCGCTCAGGATTGAATTGTATATCGATTTGAAATTGTTCATAGTTTTGCTATTGGAAAAACAAAAACGAAGAGAAACCAGAAAATCTGTGACAAACGTGTCCTTTCGCCATCCCCTGAAAAGAACGCGAAAGAAATCGGCATGCATTAATATTGCTTTCCGTGAATCGCTCAAAATGTATTAATTCCATTAAATAAAGGGACGTGTAAAATATCGGATTATTTGAAATCTGGAGCAAAAAGAAGAAGATAGTAATGTTACAACTCGACTTAGTCAAGAGTCAGTAAAACGCTGAACATGTAATTTGATTATTTATCTATGTACGTATTAATAAGATTAATATTTGATAACAGATCGGAGGACTTGACCAGTCGTGACACAGATGACGATAAATGTTCGTTGATAACTGGAACTACCGTGTCCCTTCAGGACAGCGTAGGAGCCACAGTTACAAACTTTGCTAGGTCTAGCTACGAACGTAATTTTGAGGATCGTGTATTGTACGGGCAAAACGGTGGTCGTAGATTTAGGTATAAAAAGAGAAAAACTTGTAGCGGAAATGGAATATTTAGTGCTCCCCCCGGCGTCAATCCCCATCACGTTAAATCGTCGATTATTCATCGCAATACAAGTTTGTCTTTTGAAACTTCGTACACGTTTTATCCTATGTATTTGTTATCTTTCATTTTCTACGATACTTAGCTTTTGTTTGATGAGCATCCAACCTCTTTTCTTGCAACAGATGGATCTCAATTGATTTTCATTTGGCCACAGAAACCACCCAGAAGCAGACTGTTAAGGGTTTTAGCTCCTCTCATGCATAGCATCCTTATTGGATTTTTGTTTATGGATGCTGTTCACCTCTGGCCAGGAGAATTTTTGCCTATATCGTTACCGTCTATAATGCCGGTTCCTTTACCACCCGTCAAGTGTAACGTCATCGAGCCACGTTGGTTCGACAACAGTTAGAGTTTGGTAAAAATGGTATTCTTTTGAAGCAGGAAACTTTCCAAGGATGAAAAATAAATTATATAATGTAGAAAATTAAAATAAATGGGAAAGTAACATTTATCCAAAGATTAGGAATTGTATGATTAATTATGAAGTATATCTATAATTTACGAGCTATACATTTTTTACTTTGATAATTTACTGTACGACTAAAAGTATAACTCGTATAATTGTACATACCGGAAGTGGAAATCTGAGGCGGCCATTAGGAATGCCGCATGCGTGTCTATTTGACTGTCGGTAAACATTGATTTGGAAAGTGTTACGAATGATTTAGATTCTTTATATTTTCATTCGAAGAAATGTCAAATCATCACTTATTCCTTAAGTACGGATACCCACGTCCACCCTTTGGTCTCGGCGTTGGTCGTTACGTGTGTCAGCTTCAAAGAGTAACTTTAAAATTTTGTAAAAATCATGGTGGAAGTATTGGAATTAGGTAAAATATTTTTAAGTCTGTATTCTTTGCTCTCTGCACTGGTCGTCTTTGTACATAAACGTTCGTTAATTGTACAATTTAAATAAACCAAATTAATTTCTTTCTTTTACATCGTCCACTGTGTTAATATTCTTTGTACAAATCATAACCTGTAGTGTTTCGTATAGTTTGTAAGTGTGTACTTTGAATGAAAACTATTTTATCGCTTATAAAACTGTAAATTATTACGAATTATGCGAGGAAATATTTTAACTGTGTACAGGAAATTTTTGGAAAATGATTTAATTGATTACGCAAAGGATAATCCTGGAGTTGTGGTGTACATTAAACCAAGAAGACATAGGAGTCCAGTTATAAAGGCAGAATATTGTAAGATGAATATTACTTCAGGAAAGGTAAGGAAAATATTCATTGTATGAATGTTTTACATATATTTCAGTGAATGGCGAGACACATTGGATGTGTGTTAAGAATTACTCCCGTGAAGATATTATACAATGGATGGAATTAATAAGAACGCAGTATCATAATGGTTCGTCCCTTCGATTGCTTAAGTTATGGCATACAGATTTTCCTTCTATTCAAGGGCCTTGGACACCTTTTACTTTTAAGGAACCATCCATGAACCTTGCAAAGTTCCCAAATGTAAATATTTAATTCCCATTTAAATAATTTTATCCAATTTTATATTTATTGTATTCTTTCTGATATATGTTATATATATATATATCTTTACAATTTTTAGAAGGAACTCGGCGAACCTGTTAAAATAATACCTACAGCAACAGAAGAATTGATAAGAATATTCAAAAAGCAACAAGAGGAACAAGTATCAGAAAATAGGAAAGAAGAAATAGCTGGCAAAAGCATTGGTTAAATAAGCATTTTTACTAATCTTGATATTTTTGTATATATAAACAAATAGTACGCGTAAATAAATTCTAGATCAGATAACTTGGGACTCTGAATTATTAGTATTGTTTGTAAATAACATCCATTTCTTTTATTGTTTTGCATGTTATGTTACAAAAGAACCTAATAAATAAATATATTTAAATATTGAAGTGGAAAAATTTCTATGTACATATACCGAATCATTGTTTAAGTCGCTTAACGAATACAAGACTAAAATTGTTTCAAAGTAAATGTATAGAACTTTTATGAGGTCACATATGCTATCTATTGGTCTTTGTAAATTTTATGCATATATATCCTACACGTACGAAATTAATATACAAGCTAGCGTAATAAATAGAAAATATAATCGGATACAATGATTTTATAACAATTAAATATAATTAATCAATAATTTGTGCTCTATCTTTCTGCGATGTAAGTATATCAGTGACTAGCATATCATCTTATATGCAATACCTTTAATATCTAATAGAAGCAGAATTACAATTGAATGATTAGCACATATCGTTTTTAATAGTATAGAAGGATTAGCACATATCATTTTCAATAGTATTCAGACTAATACGACAGGTACATACATGGTAATTTTTAACTGCGTTTTCATGTACAGCATCCTACATATTCACTGCTATACAAAAATATATTTTAGCGTTTTCCATATAAAAAATTGAATAGTGACATCGCATGTAGCACCATAATTCTTAAATAAACGATTTTATAAACTAAGTTTCAAACTAAGTTATTCTATTTGCTTGTTTGACAATATGACTTTTTCAAATATTCTATTTTCGTAACAATCTATAAATACAATATAAAATGTTATACTCTCTGGTGTAATTTGTTTCAGTTTTCATTTTCATTAATATATAAAGTAAATACGCAACTGTCTACCATTTTAATTAATATCTAGCTTTAATTAAAACAATCAATCAAATTGTCATAAAAATAAATAAAATATTAACGGCTCTGCATGAGAAGCGGATGAATTCTATGATCTCTTTTTTTTTTTGTTCATATTTTTAATGTAAGAGTTCTGTATTTTAACTCATGCGTGTATATTCAATATCTTTTAAAATTTTGATGGTGTGAATTATAAAAATAGAAAATATGTAAAATATGATCTTAATTAGATTGCAATGCATATGACAATTTAAACAATTTCAAAGGGATGGGTACAACAGTATATAACCCAGATATATTCTAACTTCCTTCATTGAAAAATATGAATAAATAGTTTATTTTTTAGACTACAATAGAGACAGTAATATTCTTCCCTACTATTTTTACAAAAAGAAAGAAATGCAATTTTACCTACTTAATATCAAATGAATTTAGTCTATAGATCAAAGTAATGAGATAATGAGATGGCCTAAAAATTTAAGGTTATGAGTGGGATGATTTTGATGCTACATACACTCAAACATACAAAATATTTCACATCTTGGCATACCATTCCACAGTAGACATCTCATTATGTATAAATAATAAATTTATAATGCCTCATTGTTGAATCTCATTATTAAAAATTTACAAATATGGTACTCGCAACACTTTAGTTATTTAAACACGATATCAATAAAAGTTTTATATTACAATAAATTTGTTAAAATAACGATTTTGTTATTATTCGATTTCAACGAAGGGGAAATATAAATTGATATTTAATGTAACAATAAGAAAATCTAATTTTTTTATAAAGATACTGTTACAAATTCCATTTGATAAATTAGAATACTTCAATATAAATTAATCGATCATCCCGCATATAAAAGACAATTTAATAAAATTCAAAGTACCATATTTGTGAAAGTAATTATATTGAATCATGCATACGGACTATCTTTCTTCTATCAAACAGATATCCACAAAAAATACAAAATAACACATCGGATGAAGTGTTCTTGTTTAACGATAATATCACACATTATATCGATCATGAAAGTGTGACTAGAGATGACTCGATTCATTCGACTTTAAGTCGTTTACTAATTTCCTCTTGTTGCTTTTCCCTCCACTCTTTTTTTGGTTTCATTCTTTTAAGTTGACCATCCCTAGGGAACAATTTCATTGCATTAGTTTTCATAAATGCGACCAACTGTGTCTATGATAATTAACGTACCATTGTAAGTCAACTAAACCACCTTGCCTCGCTATCACAGACTTTACTCTATTTGCGAAATCGATAGCGCTCTCCCCTTCGTTTCTATACATCGGAGGAAGATACCAGACATCGCAAACTATAGCCCAACTTGACATAGTCATGTATAAGTATTGTATCATTGAATATCGACTACTATTCCAAAACGCATCTCCAAATCTTGGATCATACTGTAAAACGGACAATAAAAATAACTTATTACAAAAACTGCTCTATAAGCATTGTACACTAAATGTATACAAAATCACCTTTATTGCAACAGGATAAATAACGCCACCAACTTCAAAACTGCCTTTTTTAAACTGCATAACCGATGTATTATTTATACATGTTCCTTCTGGGAAAATAAGAATTGGCGGATTTGTAGGATCGGACACATGTTTTTTCAACCTGTAAAAGTGCACAGAAAATAAAAATGAAAGTTTAATCGAAATGTCTGTACCAAGAGGAAAGTAATCTTCGATTTACCTTTTTGCCACTGCTTCCCTATCCTTAACTTCAGATCGTTCGAACCATATATGAGGAGAAGCACGTGCTAAAGCTCTTTGTAAAATTCCTAAGAACCCACCATGCCTCTGACCTATCTGAATTAACAATTGCCAATCAATTATATACAAATTATCTTAAACATTATATGCATATATCAATACTACGTTTTCACATAACAAATACACAAATGATATTGAAACAGTAGAAAATAGGTGTATTACCAATGAGAACACAAAACAAAAAAGCAGTAAGCGAAAAGCATTAAAAAGTTAATCCTCTACTGCATGAATTTTATTTTATCTATTGGGAGGGAAATTATTGCTTAATTATTAATACGCCCATGAATTAATTAATACTGAACCCAAACAATAAGTGGTTAAATATGCAAAGCTATTAGATATTCCTATAAGAAAGCAGCATGCACAAATCTCATCAAATTTCCTTAGCAAATTTTATAGGAATTATTTTTTATGGGTTCCTAATTGGGCACACTATGCAACAGAGCAGAGGCCGATAACCTTCTTGGTAAAGAGAGACATAATTTCATACTAAAAAATATGAAAAGCTGCGTATGTACCCATACACCAATACGTATGTCGTTATTATACTGGTGAATAACATATATTAAACTTCTCGAAGTAAATAAAAACAATAGAAAAGAATACAAGATAGAGCTAATTGTTAATTACGAAACTACAATTAACTATTACCATATCTAATCTTTTGTTAATTCCTTATTTCCGGTTTTACATGAACACTTAGGGTCAGAAACATATATTTACATACATAACAAACACTTTCTTGAACTCATACTTTATATCAGCGTATAATTATAAATCTACAGAGAATTAAACTACAAATTGTAGAGACAGAAAAGTTACGTTGGATATATTTTTTTTTTATAGAAAATATGCATTTATTTAAACTGATACGATTTAATTAATTTAACTCAGATCAAGAACCACGATAATTCAACTAAAGAATCGTAGGTTGTCGACCCCAGCAATGATTGGTTAAGGGAGTATTCTTAGTCACAGTTTTAAACGCAAGTAACAAAAGGGATAAGTATGTCTACAAAATATAAGAATGATCTTGGAACTTGTATTAAATAAGAATTTCTTTAAAATAGTTGTTTTCAGTAAGCAGTTGAGAGATTTCGTCCCGATAGCTAATTTTCAGTTAATTTTGCAAGCAGACAATATTCATATTGTGAATATTAAAAAATGTCAAAGTGAATGAAGTATCTTCTGCAATCTTATATTCAAATTTTTAATTATTTTCGTTTATAATTTTTAGACAAAGAATACTCCCTTAAGCATCTCCATTAGCAAAATGATGACAACGTACCAAAGAGTAACAATTGTCGCACATAAGTACCAGAACATCAATGGGAGAAGTGTGATTAGCCACACATATGCCCCTGACAGGTCGATTCTCTGGATTATGGTATGTGATTACTGACGATAAAGCGCTCGATAAGACACCGAAGCACATTATGGAGACTTTGAAATTCAGCCATCGTTTGAAACTACCCTCTGGAACGTAGCCCACAACTGCTGTACATACCGTCAGCCACATCACCTGTAAACCATAAGCTTTGCACCTGAGAAACGATGATTCCCTCTGTATCGTTGCTGAGTAGTTTTACCTGCAAAGCAAAGTTACAGGGCACTGTTACCTGTAACATTTACTAGTGCATTTGAACTTCGTCGGTAGGCAATGTGTATGTACTGTGTTTTTTGGAGACTCGTGTAATGGAAGATGTAAAATTGTGTCTTGTAATTTCGTTACGTTTTTCACGCGTTAAAAAAATGATTGATTAGTTTGGTACATGTATAAGTAAAAGTGATAACGTGAGATGTATTTTTAAGATACTAAACGAGTGGACATTTTAACGAATTGATTCCCAACAGCAACAGCATCTGATGACAAGTGAATTTTGAAAATAACAATGATGTACTGATATCCTCATTGGTATCAATGGTATATTACCAAAGAGAATGCTGTCTGTGTGGATAAGATGCACACATCAATTGTGGAAGTGTGATTCGCCACACACATGCCTCCAGTTTTTGGTTTGTACTCAGGATTATGGACTGTAATTATAGCTGATATAGATCGGGATATTACCCTGAATGCAATAAGGCTAGCCTTGTTGTACGCCCATTGCTTAATAAAACCGTTTGGTAGTGAGGCAATACAAAATGTTGTAATTACAAGATACTGTACCTAGGAAGCTTTAATATTAGTTGATTTGCAAACTCAAAATACATAATTAGTATTCAAATAGGCAATCTGATGAACGTTCATTGCCATAAAATAAAATTAAAAATAAATTTGTTCCTCTAATAACAATTTTTGTTTTATCCAAGACATAAAAATTACAATATACCTTTATATCGAAATAAGATTATGAAGTAATTATATCCTACCATGTTTCTCCAATTTCCATACAACAGTAAATTATTTTCTATAAATTGATCGAATAATTGCTGAACTTACCCCTATGAAGCAAATGAATATCCTCAAAGGAAGAAGGAAACAATATCGCATAACAAAACCAAACATCCATATCACAGTTAGCTTCCAAGAAATAAATTCATATTGTCTATTTGTTCGAGTTAATAGATTCCAGTTCTGAAATTTGAAAAATCATAATATATCATTAACAAAATAAAAAGATTACGTTCTCTGATCAAATTCATCAAAATAATTATGAATAATACCTTGAGCTCTTCTGCCTCAAAACGAGATGTCACCTCATCTTCGATAATAGCCTCCACGCCAACTTTGATGTAATCCAAACAGATCGCAGATTCAAATTCTTTCTTCAGTGTTTCGAAGGAATCCCTGCGAATGAGACTCTAAAACAGAAATGATTACGGTCAATTGTACCAATGATTGTTTCTAGTATATTTAACACAGAAACGAAAATTACCTCATTTTTACTAATGGTTGTCGACGTTTGAGATTTCTCAATCGTCGATTCCTCCAGGTTGTTTCTGGGATTCTGCATCTCTGGCCCTGGCACCAGGATCAAATCTTTTGACCTAGCTATCACGTTGTTGCTCGGGACTCCGTTTTGCAACTTGCACTCGGTTTCTATGGAATTATGCACATTTTGCTTTTCGTTAAGCGGCTCCTGTTCCTCGTCAGCAACTCGATTCCATGTACCATTCCTCTTCTTGACATACTCGATGTTTTGTCTACCATACTGAAACGTGGAAACATTTAAAAAATTGGGAATACTCATTAATTATTAAGAAATAAATAAGTATTTTCATCGTTGCATGTTAAATGAAAACAAGAAAGTAACGTTGGAAAAAAAGTTGTACATATGATCTTGCCTAACATTCATAATATATACATTAATACATATAAATATGCATGTTCACATAATTTATCAGATTAAATACCGATTCTTATTACTGTTTTTCTAAATTGAATTAAAATTACAAAAAATAGTCGCTATTTCTACAGAAAGCCAACAACAAAAATTGGAAATACTCATTAATTATTAAGAAATAAATAAGTATTTTCATCGTTGCATGTTAAATGAAAACAAAAAAGCAACGTTGGAAAAAAAAGTTGTGCATATGATCTTGCCTAACATTCATAATATATACATTAATACATATAAATATGCATGTTCACATAATTTATCAGATTAAATACTGATTCTTATTACTGTTTTTCTAAATTGAATTAAAATTACAAAAAATAGTCGCTATTTCTAAAGAAAGCCAACAACCTTTGGTCGAAACAAAGTACCTTTGTTTGTTTGTGCTCAATTACGAAGTCGGTAGTAATGATATTCAGGATTGTTTTACGTTTAAAAATTTTCGCGCGAAACAATTGGTCAAATTGATTTGAAAGTGTTACAACGCTTCCAAAGAATTCATGTCATGTCCTTTTTACTAGAAACAAGTAAACGGTACTCGAACAGTAAAACGTGATGAGCAAGAAACAGTGAAACTACTGAGAGTTTAAGTTCTTCAACGGTACAGAAATATGTTTCGTTTCGAAGTGACTATATGAATAACATTAAAAACATATTTCGACTCTATTGTAATTTGCATTTGTCTCCGAAATTTAGCGTGACCTTGAAAAATTACGATTTGCAAATTCCATAGCCGGCAACGTAACTTCTGTCGTTTCGAGGCCAATGCGACTTGAATCTTTAATTTTTTTTCCAAAAAACGAGCAGCTATTTATAATACATACTTAAACAAATTCTGATGAGAATCTAAAAATTAATCAAATTAATTAATTTATATCATTAGAACATAGAATGTATATGAATTGATATTTATCTCAGTCGATCGATTAGTTGTTTACGAAATAATTATTTCTATCGATTTTCTATATTTACCGTCTAATCTATATACGAGGTGCTTAACCGAGATAGAGACAAAGGAAACAAATAAATAATTCCTTTAATATATATTAAATAAACGCGATAAAATCAATAATTCACTTGGACTTTCAAAAAAATTATTATACGTATGGTTAAAATGTTAGCTCTTTTAACTTCCTAATTGATAGTTAAGTAGATGTCATTATACTGGGCACAAAGTGAATGCGCATTGAAAAACAATTCGAACGGCAGTAGATACATATGCAAATTAATGTTTCTGTTCAATATTAACGATCAGCAAAGGTAAATCTGAGAAGAAATGAATAGAAAGGAATATAGTTACGCAGCTGAAAAAAACAGAGTCTTAAAAAAGGGTATTTGTGATAAGTGTTCTTTGCAGAACCGATTACGCTTTTGGTACCCCGGTCTTGGGAACGATTGATTAATGGTCCTCTTGATAAGGAAATCAGGGGAATTTATTAGTGGTCTATAATACTGCCTATTCCTTTGGAAGTATTTTAAAGAATTATTATAAATAAGAATAAAGACAGTATTTGGTAATAATGAGGTCCTTGTCCGATTTGGCACAAATATTTCTACAAAAAAAATTAGATATTAGAATCGAACTGTTGTTTCCTAAGTATACATTTACCCGGTAATCGACCTGGATTCGATATTGCAAATAAAAAAATAATTTACCAGTGTTTTTACTTTCCTGCTATCGTACTTTCAACAACGAAATACCTTCTGCAAAAAATTTCCCTTTGCATCGAACGAAATTATACAGTCCGCTCAGCGCGGAAATTTCACCAAGGACGAGAGAAGTTTATCAATGGGAGTCGGATGACGGAAAGTCTTTGAATTCCAGCAAAGAAGACGCTAAAAGTTATCTGGTTAATCGCAGTTAAAAATAATAAAAGTTCCTCGAACATGGGTGTCGAAACCTCTGAATCCGATAATATGTTTGCCCCATCGGCACGTGTTTCGCCAAATTCCCAATTATCTTCCATTGACCGCATCGCAATGTTTGATAATAGTAACTAAAGTACAATCGATAAGGAATATATTTAACGAGGAGGGTATTGCCTGGACTTTGCACTCGCCTTCCTCGATTTTCGTTGGACTTTGGAACAGCGGGAAGCCTTTTAGGCATATTACGGTGCAACACAGTCACCTTCGTACTGTGCCAGACGAGAACGAATGCACCCGCCGCAGAAATATCGTCTCGCGACTATAGGCAAACGTAACATGCCACGGGGAAGGCGGTCCCTCCTAGGCTCGTGATGCGCACGACGGGTGCGCGTACGCGCGTTCTGTGTATTTAACAGCGAAACAATATTTTTGCGCCGAATTTACTGTCGAATTCATCAGTGACTTGCGATCATGAGTAAGATGTATGATCAGACGAAATGTCTGGCCCGACACGATGACAAATTGCTTAACTAGCCAGATACCAATTAAAATATCACGATGTACGAAATCTTTTAGCCTAGTGCGACCCTCGAGGACAGAGGTCGATAAACCTACTCTGAGAAGGGACAAACAAACAATGTCACGAGTTACGCGCAAGGAAGTAACATCGACGATATTATTTATATACTTACGTAAAGAATGCACGTAAACAGTTATTTTGAGGAAAACGGCGAGAAGTATAGAATCGTTTTCGCGAAGCATAAGTACTTTTTATTGAAGCTCAACGTCAATGCTCTTCGTTATATAAATCAATTAAAACAGCTCGACGAATAGATTGGTTTGTAACGGAACTATCACGTCGTTTGAAAATATCACTTTCTACGCAGGTAGGTAGTGCCAAAAAGTATAATTAATCCACGTAAATGTGCCCACGACAATTTGTGTATGAATGATCATGTCTACGTCAAGTCCTGCTCTAGGAGATCGTTATTTCTTTGGATTCTCTGCTCGCAGAAATTTTAGTATCACAAAAAATATTCATGGTAGATGATACTTTCAACATGGGCATCTAAAATATGTTTTTTTCAAAGGTACAAAAAAAAAAGGTTGATGAAAAATTTTTTTTATCATCAATATATTTATTAATGAACACGTAATTTTTGTTATTTCAGGACATTTGAAGATCAACATAGTTCACGCTGTTCCAATAAAAAATATCGATAACCTTGAAATTTCATGAAGTATGACAATATGTAATATTTGTTCATTTCTAACCGACCATTATTCGCATCTTTGAAAGAAACTGAGATATCTCTACTAATTCTATCTTCTGAATTAATCTTGATCGATACTGAATTGTTCGGCGAACTTTCAATTCTATTTTGGTTTCAGATATATGTCTTTAGCACCAGACTGGAGATTATAGAACAAAATGAACGATATTCAATTCTCAATGTGTAGCGTATTTGGCCCTGTTTATTATGTGAGACTTGGCTGACGTAACTGGTACAAAATTGCTAAGAAAAATACGAACATTTCTAAAAGTAATACGTTTTATCGTAATACAAGCTCTATGAAAATTAACCTCGCCATTACTTTTATATAAAAGAAATACACATGCCTTTTTGTTCAATCAACCGTAATTCACGGAACGAGCCAGGATTAGACCTGTATCGAGCAGAGAAGCTAGGCTTGGTATGGCCTCATTCTAAATTTTATTTTATTATTTTAACTCGCTTTAATTTAAATTCGTACCTTTGTTCGAAACAACCCGCCGCGCATACATAGTACTACACGGTGAATAAATTAAACTTTAATCCTAAACATAATTATCTGACTCGCTTGATAGGTCCTTGAAACTACTTGATCGTGAGTGATTTACTTAAGCACTCTACAGTAAATACATTCCACTTCAAATAATAAACAGTAAATTAGAGAAATTATCATTTTAATAAATTGATAATAAATGTTTTACTACACTGCGTTTATTGTAATTATATACAAATATTGTACGCGATTGCATAACAAAGAAAGCAAACTAATATTTTATTCACTGGATTGTTTAAGTAAAACTTTCACTAGACAACGCTCCCGCCATCGTATTAATTTAAATAAAACGCTTTGCAGTCTATACGCGAAAGCGTGTTTAATCACCGATCCGTCTTTTACAAACAACGCAAAATTCTCGAGTTATTGGTAGCGCGGACGGTGAACGACCTTCTTTCGCGGTAGAAAGATTAATGGATTTACAAAGACGGAAAATTACAAAGATTGGTCTATCGGAACAAAGCAATTGACCATCGTTATCGTCAAAGGTGCGAAAATCTGTCGCAGACAAAACAAACGTGGAATGATGGTACAGCTATTTTCAGAATAATCAAGATTGTCAATATTATTTCAGGCGGAATACGTGTTCTCTTTTTTTTTTTTACATAAAATTAAAGACCATTTTCAGGTAAAATATATAGGACACGGTTCATTATTATAACAACTTTTTATTTCATCGTTAAAGAATTATTATTGTAATACAATGTATTCGTTTAATGATAAAATATATTAATTACAAATTGATCAATTTGTAATTAAATAAGAAGATCTAATTCTATGTAGAGACATGCTTATTATTTTATCGAACAAAATTATAACGATCATAGTTATTGTTACGAAAAATTTTCAAGGCCCTATATCTAATTGGATTTATTGTTTCGAACAGATTAAATATTTTTCCGACGTCATTGTTGCAACCACCGATTACCGATCATTGAAAAACGATCTTTTATCAAATATTAATCGCCGATACAATATTTGCAACGATCGAGATAATCCGCCTAGAACAAGGCCCTCCTATAATCATCGATGACTAACCGAGATTAAAATTAAACAATAAAAGTGACTAGCTCGGATCATTAACCTTAATCGAGCAGCTTGATGGTACGAACTTGAAATGATAGATTTACGTGAAATCGAGGACAACCATTTTACGATTCTATTTTAAAAACAATAATTTTAATATAGATAGAGAATTGATAAATCACAGTAACGATTTTTATTTTGAGAATATGCAAAGAGACAGTATTATTTGACTGGAAGTGATTAATATTCGACACGAAAATAATTATGTATGTCACATACTGCTCGTTAAAGCGCCGTAAGTACTTAAAAAAGTTCGAGTACTGGATATACCACACGCGAAATCCTTCTAATAACTTATTGTACGTATTCGGATCGCTTATAAAGAAACCTTTGTTCGAAAATATTATATTTAACACTGATCACACGAATTGCTCGACGCTGGGTACTTTGCTGTTGACGGCTTTAAATCGATACGAACTAGTTACGTGCAATGAAATATTGTCGTAACTTTACCAAGATGTGTTTAAATTAATCCAGATTTAATATTTCGGGAGCACATTTACTACGTTAGCCGATGATACACGCACAGGGAATATGATAAATATATGAAAAATAAGAATCATTGATCAAAGGATAAGATCACCGAAAACGAACGAAATAAATATGTTTGTTTCTTATCAAATTGTGGCATACCGTTTAATCAGATAACTCGCAATTGTCAACCATTAAAAAATACCTGTCGTTCGAACGGAAAAAATCGTTGCAGTTCTTTCGTGACTCGTTTTTATTATATTTGATAAAATATTTTAAAAGGTTCAATGAAATTTTCTATTTACTAACAGGACACATTTGCACTTCGATTAAATAAATGTAACGTTAAACGGGCAACGATTATCGATGCAGTAGTTTTGTCAATAATTTTCACGCATCAAAGGATTAATTTCACGAAGATGACGTTTACGTTGCTGTTGCTATCACTGACCAGCGTGGTTTCGAACGTACGTACTTTGAACGCGCCCTCTCGTTTAACAAAACCATGTTTCATAAAACGTCAACTATAATCACGGTGAAATTTAGTCAAAGAAATATTTCGAATGCTTTTTTGATATTTTATATTGTTAAATCGAATTATATACTACTTGTTGATCGTAAATTAAACGGTTCGCAAAGTTCGACCGATGTACATTTCATTGAAAGATTTTTTAACAATAGACGATGAAACGTTATTAACAATATGTAAATACAGTTATTAGAAACATCTCTGATACTAACAATAAGTTGTTCAAAAAGCTATTGAAAGCTGATGCGAACCTTAACAATTGAATTAAACTCGATGGTTAGATCAAAGCATATAAGCAGATTTCGAGATAGATCTTGAATATAATTTGTAAATGATGGCATTCTCAAAATATTACTTTTCTAATTCACACGTGTTCTTGTCGTCAAGTTACATTCCGAAACGTATATCAGAAAATAATTTAAACCGTAGGGTTGTATCGAGGGCGATACGTATTCTATTCATAACTTTATGAGTATATTATTAATCGAACAGATAATACCAATTCAATTCACGATTTTCAAAATTATTCGGCACAGCATACACAATTACAGTACATATTTATGTGTTCTTAGTAAATGTCTTACCTCGAAAAGCGCTAATAACAATTTTATGTATAATCTTCTGACGCCGAGTGACTTTCCGATAGAAGCCAGAAATATAATGGCAAGCAAAAACATAAGAAAAGGTGTTAAAAATAACGAAACCGTCAGAGACATCACCATCCACAATGACGCCATTTTGCTTACTGCCGAGAACTATCGAAGAGAACTAAACGATCCCTCGAGTATCTATGACTATGCGAGTATTGTTGAAAGGTATCCGAGACTAGTAGCGACTTGTCGATGCTTCTCAAACTTATCACTAGAGGGATACGAAGAGTATCATATTTATATAATAATTTAAACATCGGGTCAAATTGATTCTTGTTTTTCTAAGAATAAATCATCAAAATCAGCACAGATGATTCTCCCTTTAAAATGTTCAGGGTTTATCAGAATTGATTTGACCGTCGTACAGCGAATAAAAAACTTTTTTCTCACATACAATTACATGTGATTTTTTGTTTGTTTTCATAAACGTAGAATACAATGAAACAAATTTACATACATAAATGAATAATGTATACGGAACTATTATTATCACGAAAATTATGATTTAAAAAATGCGCGGTAACACAGGATATGCTTATGCCTATCCTAATCATCGTCCTATGATTGCCAGATTTCATGCAATTTTCACACATGCGCACTCGTAAAAGCTACGTGTTTAATCAGTATTTACGGGCATCAAAATTCAGCGAGACCCAATAAGCGAGTAAATCAATTGAAAGTATTGCGCTAATAAATGCATTTGCTTCTAACGGATAGATGTTACAGTAAGTATTACTCGATCATTAGCGGCTTAAGGCATATATGTTTCTAGTAGAATCATCGACTAGAAATATTTTGCTTTTGGGTAGCTTAACGTAGAAAATATCAAACTTTAAATGTCTTCATGATACAGAGTTCAGGCGGAACGTGAATTTTTATATATTCGAGAAACATATACAATTGTCACTTGGATGAATTTGTAAAATATGAGGCCCTATCAAAGAAGACAACAGGGCTTACAGTATGGAATTGTTTTGCTGGGTATGCAAGCCATGAATTATGGTCTTGACAAAATTCCACCAGCAACATTATTTACAATCATTGGACAAGTGAGTAATGATGATTTAATCTTATGTGCGATCATGGCCTAGAGATTACTGTAATTATTAAATCGTAATGTTATACGAAATAACAAATTTTCGTTTCTACAGGTTTTGCTGTACATTGGTTTGATAAAAGTTCCATGGAACGCGGAAGAAGTATGTATATCTTCGATAAAAGTACTCAAATATCGAAATTGGAAGTCATTTTTAATATCAAATTTTGAACATGGCTCGGATATGCATTTGTATTACAATATGGTATCTTTGATATTGAAAGGCTCGTACATAGAACCTATGTACGGGACAATGAATTTTATTTTCTTATTGGTTATCCTTATGCTCGGATGCAGCACTATGTACACGTTCTTAGGCTATGCCTTAATGGAATTGACCGGAGATTATTCGTATTATACGCAATGCGCTATCGGATTCTCTGCTGTTTTATTTGCGTTGAAAGTTATTGTAGTTTGCGAAGAAAACGATAGAATGCACAACATCGGCGGATTCAGAGTTCCTAGCAAAATTGCTGTCTGGGTTGAGCTACTCTTACTTCATCTCTTAGTGCCACAATCTTCGTTTATAGGACACCTTGGTGGTATTCTGGTTGGGTGTTTATATTGTTACACTTTTGTTGGCGAAATAATCGATACCTTATTGTGTATTCTGACTGATGCTCCTATCGTACACGAGGAACAATTTTATAGAAGACGCAGTTCATTTTTCAGGCGAACTGTAGGTTGAAAATGATTTAAAATCTTAGATTACCAGATGTTGTAATATTTTTACCAAAAAGTAATATACCCGTGGTTTTAAAATATTCACCTACAAACTTGTAAATATACATATATTTTGATACAAATGTACTATATTTGTAAACAGACCCAAGTAAATTTTATTTTAAATAAAAATAAGTTATAATACTGTTATTGTTTGTAAATAATCGAAATATCAATTTATGTAAAGCAACAGATATTTCGAATTTTTGTCTGTCGAAAGATTTTGGAATGTTACGTATTTCAATATTTTAAATACAGAATGACTATTGCATATTTGTTTCATGACATAAGATATCGTAAATTTACTTAAAAATCGAAATTAATGAATTCCTGAGTTACATAAATTCATAGATAGGCTGTTATGCTCCCACTTATGACTGGGATGCATATGAATGTATATGAACTAGTTGTATAATAATATGATCAAATAGACGTAAGTGTGTTGAAATTGTCAATCTGAATGTTCCTAGGATACTTTGGATATGCGTACGTACCAAATAACGTGAAACTACATTCTGAATTATTTTATATTGTAAACAATATTTGTTGTATATACAAAATAATAAATTAATTTTTTATTAGTATAGCAACTAGCTTACCTACACTTAAACATTGATTGTATATATATTTTTCATTGCATAATGCATTATGAATAAGAAAACAGATTTTATCTACAATATTGTATTTTGTACATAATAAAACAGATTGATGAAAATCAGTCTATATTCTCTGCAAATGCAACTTAATTTGATGATACGATTTTTTCATTCGATATTTCATGCATAAAGTAATCATGACCGTTTAAAGAATTAATACGTAACACGACTAACACGACTTTAAAATTTTATACAATTTGTACAATATAACATTGGGTACCTTGGATCTTATTTCTGAGCTGAGTAACGACGCCACTGAAAAACGAATAATAATAAACACATAAACAAGCAGAAAAGTAATGTCGATAAGAAAGCAACAAACTTACAGATTGTCTGATCATCCATTTTATGAGGTATTTCATAAAATATGAAGTATGAACACATTCTTCTCAACAATGTTAAATCACCTTGAATTTCTCCCGTAGTTAAATAAGATTTAATGTATGGCTTTAGGTCTACAACATAAAAGATATTGAATGACCAGAAAAGTAAAAATTATAAAGAAACTGCAATAATTACCATGTTCCCAACTATCCATGATGTACGAAATTTTCTGTTTAATTGCGAGCACACTTTCCGCGCTAAGTAGCGGATTTTTGTTCTCCGTGTAAGACTGTTTTAATATCTGAGACGAGACAAGTTTGATTTGCCAAACAGAAAAACTATTTGGTTCTTTCTCTATAATCTCTATACTCTTTATTAAATTCACCCATAAAGGAAGAAGAGTAACTTTATCCTTTATTACGCATTCGTAAACAATTATAGCGAACATATGTAGGAACTGTTTTTCAAATTCTGTCATTTCAGAATACTGTTCTTTGTGTTTATACGAATCGCTGGTATTCTTTTCATCGGTCGATAGATCAGCAATTTCCATTTTCTCGCCAGACGAGTCCTGTCGTTCGTTCCAACTACAACTTGCTCTTTCAGATGCATCCGTCAAGCTTTGTGTCAAATATCCAGAACTACTTTTAGCTACGCTGCCATGGGATTGCGAATTTAAATTACTCTCGACTTTAATTTTCTCCTTTTTAGGCCACTGTAAAAAGTATTTTACAATATTCAAGACAGTTTTATTATTTGTAAACGAAGTCACGTATTCGGGACGAGCAGCCCACGCAATAACATTTTCCGTTGTTAATGTTTGAGCAATTAAACATCTAAAACCCTGAAACATTTACAAATGATAATATTTAGTACGTATTATATATCACTAAGTTTTAGTAAATATTGAAACAGCGAAGAATTACATGAGGATCCTCTAAATATGGTAAACAACCGGCTCTTTGCTTAACTTCTAAAGATTCACATTTTTTAAGCATATTCTCAAGCTGCTGCCAGTTATGGCCCTTTTTGAAAACAATTTCCCAATATCGTTCGTCTTTTAACTCAACTTTTTTAATGCTGCACAACTGTGGCAGTAAACACGGCGCTTGAAGTATCAAATCTTGCCCTTCGTCTTCTTTTTCGGATTCAAATGTTAAGTGTATGGTAGCGTAGCAATACTGAGAACCATCGATGTCTCTGGGTAAAATTACACGTGGTTCGGCTGCTAATACATATAGATGCCGTAATGCTTGTAAATGATATCTATAAATCATAAAATTAATTGAAAAAACGTAACGTTTGTTATACTCGTCAGTAAAATTAAAAGATTAGTAATTATTGGTCGAAAAAATTGCCAATTTTCGAACTGCTGTATGTATATTTATCGCGAAGTTATAGAACTTTAAATTAATAATTACATTTTTAACGCGTACCACTTTTCGGTCAATAATCTTTTAATTTTGATGGCAAGTGTATTAATAAATCAATTTTTATAAAAGAAAAAATGCCATTGATATTGACCTGTTATCGTTACTATGTGTTGGGAATTTTGGAAAGAGAGAAATTATGAGAGCAGCCACTGCACTAGGACTGTTAGAAAGAGTGTACTTTCCGCCTCCAAGAAACAATAAACCTAGAGCCATATGTGTTGCTAAATGGGAACCATACGTAACAACGCTACTAGCAGGCCCTACGCGTGTTCTCACGTGTCGGCATATTCTCATAATCTGTAAAGTTAACAAAATATGCGGTTTGCAGTAGAACATTTTCAAGATTGGTTTTAGTCTTAACTTTCCTACATCAATCATTAACCTTACCTCTAAATCACCTGTACCCGCCATTACAGCAGCAGCAGAAAGTAAAATAACATTTAAGCACGTTTCGATGGTTGACTTTCCAGCTAATTCGGCAATAGTTTTATGCGACAATGCCGTAAACATCTGAGCATAATTGTACAACGTTTTGAATGCGTTTCTATTGGCAGTGCCTGCATACTTCAATCCTAAAGCCATACAGGCTCCTGCGATGATGTTGCAATAAGCTTGGCTGTATTTTGATTAACATCAATTAATAAAAACTAAATATTACAACGATACAGTTATTAGTACATTATTTGTATGCTAACTTCATGGTTTCCAAGTCTACGTTCTGTGCCATCTCAGACGTTGGTTTCTGCAATCTGTATTTGTAAACAATATTGGGTACATGACTGGAGACCCAAGATTTCGTTGGTTCAATTTCGTTCCAAAGTATCAGCGATTTTGCTAATATCCGCAACAATAAGAAGTCGGGTCTTACAAAATCTAACAAGTATTGAGTGTCAGGAGCTTGCATCCATTCTGCCACTGCGCGGTTTCCCGTATTGAAATACATCAGGCCCAAAGCCACCGTTGCCCCGGGACTTGTCACATCAATGTTTATAGAGTCGCCTTCCCTTATCTGATAACTGAAATTACAAAAACAAAAAACGCAAAAGAATATTTATTCGACGGTACGATATTATTGAATACAATATATTTACCTAGGAGATTTGTATTTATCTTTTTGCGCTCCGTCGAAAGGTCTAACGTGCCCACCTACCATATAATAATGCAAAGTATCTGGTATATTAGCTAAATCTGGTCCACCTCCGCATCCTAACACTACCAAGCCTAGTGCTAGACCCGCCGCTAAAGAATACGACTCTCTATCAACACAGTTTTTCATTTCTGGTCCCGGAGGTCTACCTAAGCATATAAAATAATTTACATAATTTAGTACACATTACTACTGATGCAAATAAAAATATATTGTAGTCGCTATGTTCGGTAAAGCTATGGATGCTTCTAAATTAGAATTATACTGGATAATCACCGATTTCTGACAACAGAGCATGCGAAATATGTCTGTGAGCAGTCCCTTGATACACTAAACCAACTCCCATTAAGGCCGCAACTTGGACGTTCTGTTGAACGTTTAATTCGATACTCGTAGGTGGCAACAGCGTTTCCACGTGAAGTGATAATAATTTAGTCATGGAAACGTTCATCGTGCCGCGATGCGTTGCTGATAATCCCAGTAACAGCCCAACACTGGTAGCTTCATGGCATTCGATTAAATATTCGTACATACTGAAAGGCGCTAAATTTTTCAGATGGCCGTTCAAACCGAGAGCCATTAAGAAACCCGAATGTTCGATACCAAATTCCCTTTGTTGCTGTTTATTATATACTATCCACGTTGAATCGATATTCGATGCGTCTGGATGAATACGAAGACCCGCGGCTACACCATTATGAAATAATGGCCATAAATTCATATTTGGTGGAACGTCTATGTGAGCCAATTCTACGGTGGTTCCGCGAGGCGGTGCTTTTCCTATAAATGTAACAACACTGTATTCACATGCTTATAGAAATTTCGCTGTATGTTGTATTCGTACCAGTTAGGCATAGTCGAGGTATTGGTAACTGCTCTGTGATGATAGGGATCGAAGTTCTCAGTGTAAACATTCCTCTTGCCACTGGTAGTGCCATTGTTCTTGTGCACAATGCATGCAAATGTTTCTCTTGCTCCTCTATAAATTCGTGATCACTTATATCCGGTCTTTGTACTATTGCTATTCTTACTGGTTTCGAAGAATTAAGTAGCTTTCGAACTTCCGCCACCCTGTGATCTTTATTAAATCTCAATTTTAATACCTGCGGGAATCGCTACAATTAAGAAATGCAACGAATAATAAAATTGTAAAATATTCTTCGAGCGTACAGTATCATCAAATTCCATTCCGTCGTCTTGCTCAGGATCCTTAATCGAGTAATTTTTGCCTTCGTTATCCATATGCTGATTCGATCTGGATGATTTTAAATGTTTGTCCAATGCAGCTAAATCTTGACGATCTATTAATTCATACGCTTCCATCGGCCAATTCGATGGAGGTCGTTCCCTGCACCTATGCATCACATCTTTTAACAACAGAGACACACCAGGAGGTAATATTTCAAGATCTTTTTTAGTCATACCTGAAACGATATTATTACATTAATATTTTAATTTTAAATCAATGATAATCGGAGTAAAAAAATACCCACCCATTTCATGATACATCAACACTATTCCATCCGTCGTAGAATATTCAACCTTTTTAAATATCTCTTTATCGTATTTACCCCCATTTTCCTGAAAGTCTATCCGACTGCCAACTGGTATTATATGTTTTACAAATTTGTCAATTTCCAGCACGTTGACTTCGTTCTCATTCGCTATATGTGCCGTTAAATAAATGATGTTTTTTGTTCTTGGATTTACTTGGCCCAAATAAGGAAACGCCGGTATTTCTACTTTTTTCAATAAATTGTTTAATGTTTCGAATATATTTGGTGGTTCCGATGGTATATAATTTGGTACAGTAATTTTCTGCAAATCTGTTTCGTTGATTTGCGACGTAGTATGCCTTAGGTGGCAAATAGAAGGAAAATCGAGAAAGTAATGGTGGGTATACATATTGAATTTCAAATCTAAGCTTAACTGGTACAGTAATTGTGCGAGTAAAGGTAAACTTTCTGACATCACGCAATTTAACTTTAATTCTTCGTACAACAGATGCAACGAAAATAAAACGAATGGAAAGTATGGAAATAAAATGGAGTGTACATTTATTTTTCCTATACTGTTAGATTCTTTGACGCTCGGCACCGGCGCTTGAAGGGCGCTCGATGTTTTCTGAAGACCGAGTATATTTGAAATGAAACTTTGAGAATTTCCATTCTTAATGGAGTGTATCATATATAACCAATCATCGTTAGATCCAGAGTTGTTTGTTTTCTGTTTCTTTGGCACTACCATCGGACTGTTGCGTTCGGCAAGTTCATCTTTTTCATTTTTTTGAATTAATTGCAGTTTCTCGACATCGTATCCCAATAATGTAAACAAAACTACTAGAAAAAGATACCACTCCTTTTCTGGCGAAAAATCTTGGGGCCCGGGAGCATTGCGAGCTCCATACCATTTTACTAATAATTGCATTGCTAAATCTTTTTGCAAAACGCTTCTCAACGTTTGTAAACATTTAGTAACTGTAAAGAGTACAAGAAGTTAATTTATAAGGATATGTGTAATAATTATATACGCTTTACGTGATTAATTTGTTTCGTAGCTCTCTGCGTAAATTCAAGTACATTACTGTAATTAAATTAATATTTACCTAAAGGAGAGGTACTGGATGCCGGTAACGTTATCCGAAAGAAATTCTTACTTCCATATTCTAAAGTAACTCTGCTTCCTACTGCTTCTTTTAAGGCAAGAAAATTAGAGTGTACCATAGAATTTTCTAACAACATAGGCGGTCTCGCACAATTCCCTCCAACAGGACTTAACAAGTGCATTCCTTCCTCGAACTTAATATCATGAGACACTGCACAGTTTTGAGAGATCAACGAACTTCGTCGTGGAAATGGGGAACTTAATTTATGGTTAATAGTGGATAAAAAATAATTGCATCCAGATAAATTTGGAAGTATCCCTGTTACGTGCAACTTGCCGACGCAAGTCACGCCAGAATATAATACAACACCGTTCGATAAGTCCATTGTCGCTATCATATGCAAATTCTATAACAAAGTAGTTTACTTTATGCTTATGATAATAATTAAATATTGCAAAATGTTCGTTGATGAATACTAACAGGTACGCTAACAGCATCCTTCGCCACGATACTTGTTACCATACCGAAAATAATTTGTTGTTGTTTATTCGTTTTCTCGAGCCTCACTAAAAACAGTTGAGATCGTTGCGGAATTAAATAGCATAAATAACTTTGTCCAACAAGATCGGATGAAAGAAAAACTTTAGACGCTCGACCAGACACAACGTCCCTTAAAAATAAAGATGGAACTATTAATACCGATATTATAATTTTCAATTAAACTCATTAATCGAAGACCAAAGAAACTAAAAACACGAAGAAAATTTGTGATTGGATATTTGAAGATAGGATTATGCGGGAGTAGTAGTATCGATAAATATGATACTTACTTTGGAATTCCAACATTTTCGCTCCACACATGATCGAGACAAATATCAGGATATAATGGTTTACTTGGTGCAACAATATCTTGTAGCTGTATATTACTATAATTGCCGATAGGGCTATTCTGCGTATGACTTAATGCAGTGGCCATAACTGTGTGATGCAATCTGGTGTGATGCATAGATGAATTAGCTGGTGCACCAAGTAACGGTGAAAAACCAGAATGAGTAGGAGATTGACAACGTGAAATAGTTGCCATTGGACTTTGAGATCTTGAATGTTGCTGTTGCTGTTGAGAAGGCGATAGTCCTCCTGAACAAGTAGTATAAGATGTACGGGAACCAAATGGACTGTTTGACATTCCCAATCCTATACTACTTAATTGTGGATTTGGAACACCTAAAATGCAAATTTGTCGTTCGATACAAATCCCAATGTTTTCAAATTGGACAATCCTTTAAAATAATATTTACCAAATATACTCAAATGTCCTTTATTTGTACAACTTTTATTATTCGAAAGATTACTTCCAATATTAAATGGCGACGCGCTTGCTGTTTGATTATATATACTAGGAATAGAATCACTATTTCCACAAACCAGCTGGCATTCTTCTACCAAAGCCTTACGTATTTTATATACAGAATGTAAACCAGTCTTTGTATCATATATCACAGCCAAAGATGGTTCAGAACTTGTAAATACAATTTCTTGATTCGAATCATACATATATGATATGTTTCCTGTAAATATTATTACAATTATAGACACTGTACATTTTAATCTTGAATTCTATAATTGAATTTATAAAATTTTATACCATGTTTAATAAGTACAGGACAAATTTCATCCAAAGGATGCATAAGAGAAAATACCACCGGCAGATTTGTATCACCACGTGCTTGTAATCTATTTCCTCCTAACGATGTATGTCTACAAACATTAAATAAAATATTATAACTGCCTGGTGTCTCTTAAGAACTGGCATTTTCGAGCAGTAAAATTTAAACCTTATTTCTGATGCAGGAACTTGCGATTTTTCCAACAGTATCCCATATTTTGTTGACCAAACAGCAGATACCTAAATTACAAATCTATCGATAATAAAATATATTAAAACCGTGACGTTGTTGAATTAAAATTTTACCTGAAATTGTAAACTAGATACATAATCTTCTCCAGTTTCAGTAAACACTTTAAGAGTGTACGAGTCAATTAAACAAATGCATTCCACTGTTTTATCATTACTTTCTTCATCTTCTACGTCTTTTCCTTTCGACAAATGATCAGGTACATTGGTATGAAATTTACACCACAATGCATGTTTAATATCCGTTTCACAAGTATAAGTTGTTTGCAGTACCTGGGTAGTTTGATTACCCTTCGAATGAATTGCGACTTTGCCTGAACAATATAATTCTTCTTCCCCGCATGCTTCATTCTCGCGTACAATCCAAAATTCTTTCTACATATTCAATTACTGTCGTTTATTAGATGCCTTAAATAGTAAGTCTAGAAAGACTAGAAACTTTAGGTTTGTCAAACACACGTATTAAAATTATTTATCATTGCTTATATATTTAAGGTCTACATTTTATTACGTTTTATAAATTAGAAAGATTTTGCAAACAATGCATAAAAGAGATTTAATCATGCGTTAACGCCTTGTGGCCTAGTCTTCCTAGGGTTAATAGATATAAATACACAAAATGATCAACTTACAGGCGAGTTCTCTGAAATGTTTACTTGACTCAATTTTTGTAACAAAACATTGTCTCCAGCAGTTGATCGACTTTTCAATGTTTGTTGACCAATTATAGCTTCAGGATGTCTTAAAATTGTTAGTCTTCCACCAGGAGCATATTCCTAGAGAAAAGTACATTTTAAAATTAAGAATTGTTAGTCTTCCACCAGGAGCATATTCCTAGAGAAAAGTACATTTTAAAATTAAGATTTCAATTGAGATTACTATACGATTATTTTAACATTACGTTATTATAAAAAACATTTATGTTAGAATTTAATTAACGCGTTTTTATTGATTACATTTTAACCTAGATAATGCAGGACTTACCACCGGTTCTGAGGCGGCAATCATCTTCTCCCTAGTTTCATCCAGATTTGCAGACTATAATTATTGAAAAGTATAAGAACAATATTATTCAATATTTACTTAAGACCGTGTTGCAAAGCCAACTTAAAATGTTTTCCCAATACGATGTTATTAAATGATGCGTCATTAAGAACGTCGCCATATTCAAAGTATTCAAACGCTTGTACAAAAAATTGACATACTGTATACGAAGATATGCCAAACACTATACACGTAGAGTAACACCGGAATAAATGGTCCCATTCTCCTATTTTGCTACCGTAGTCTACTCCTCCTAAATATGAAAAAAAAAGTCGTAAACACAGGTTTTGAAACTTCTTTTACGAAATCTAAACATTTTGTTTACGTAGACAATTTTCATGAATAACTGTCATACGTAGAATTACGAATACCGTCAACGTTTTATTTTTTTGTTAGTAAATAATGTAACAGAGTATGTAATCCTGATTCTGAAAACAGTGTATATCATAGTAAGTCAAACTATGTCTAAACGTTTCCTAATCAGGATTACTGGATGTTATTAACATTTTTAAATCTATCCTAATCTTAGTCCCTTCGACTTTGCTGGAAATATTTCGCATTGCAATCAGTATGTCTTATTAAAAAATTTTAAAGCGGCACCACCTTTTAGAGTCTCTTACATAGATTGGAAATATAGTCAATGATATTGTTTCCTTACCTGATCAATGAAATTTACATCAATAATAATAATAATGCATGTTTTATTATAAATTAAGATACAGATATTAAAATAAAAAGTATAAATATTACATATATTAATTATACAATAGCGATTATTAACATAATTTATACCACTCGAAATGTTATACTTTAAAATTACATAATTAATAAAATGATATGTTCACATATACGTGGTAAAAAATTATAATACTGTGTTTCAAAGTGTATGACAATAATGAACTTGTTTCTACGATTATAAAAATGGATTTAATGAATAAACATATTCGTTAGAAGCCTAACCGAGCCCCAATAATTTTATCGCGGTTAAAAAATATACAAACGTAGACAAACATTGTTAACAATCCTTTAGTACCTTTACAATCAAGCTGCTATTAAATGGTACTGATAATTGTAAGCTATTCATTAAATATGAAACTGTTGAATACATATATGCAATTCGTTATTATATGATTATAAAAATCGATGTAATCATTTATACGTGTAAAGAGTTTATAGATTTATTTTACCAAAGCATACATATTTACAAATACTTTGCAAAATTGTTATTGTAGATAGAAATTACATCATCTTTTCCTATAGTGTGAAATTAATCAACTAAAACATTTGATTTAGATTTTAATAAAAATTGATTCCTCCATTACAATAAATATAATAAAACTATAAATAGTATAAAAAAACAAACACATAACTTGTGAATATGGTGTTCTCAAATAAAGAACTTAAATTTAAAATTTAAAGGTAATGTCAGTGTTTAGTTTCACTTATTTAAGTGCATTTAACTTTGGAAATTCTTTTATGTACATTTCCAAGGAACCTTAATAGATTTAAATTTTAAAGCATAAGAAATGGATTTAAAAACTATAACTAAATAAATATTTGCATATTCAAACATCTGTAACCATTGCGTTTCCTTTTCGTTTAATAAATATGCATATTTTGTGATCCCTTGGAATAGGTATATTTCCATTCAAAACAAAGAGGTAAATTGAAGATTTAGAAAACTGCGATATTAAAAGCATTCAAAGAGCACTATTAACACGGTACATGTCAATTGTTGTGCCGAATGTGCCATTACTTATGTGTTGTACTTAAATTATTTGTCATAACATTTCAAATCTTTTTCAACTAAATTCAAAATGTTTTACGATGAATTGCTCTCGCACCATCTTCTTCGTATTCTCTTTTACTAATCCACATCTTCTTGAAAGTATCTAAGGAAGCCAAAATGGATCCACCAATCCAAGTACTATATAATCGTTCTTGTGGTGCTGATATCTGCATATTGCAATTTAAATATTATTAGATAACAAAATCCTAACACGGAACAATATTTCAGTGTTTATTAAATGTTACACGCACCCTAATTTTTACGTCCTTTGGTGTCATTTTACGAATTTCGGATAATAATCTATCGCCGAATCCCTAACACGTACAAAAACATAAATTTACTGAAGATATAACATATATTATATACTAGTACAAACAAAATTACACTAATTTCACACTTACACGGAATAATGTAGAGCCTCCTGATAGGACAATGTTTTGGAACAAGACCTTCCTTAAATCCAGATCAGACTTTTGAATAGAATACGTCAACACTTCGTGAAGTCCTTCACACTCTTCTCCAATCAACTCTGGTTTAAAGAGGACTTCAGGAGCTCTAAATCGAGCTGGACCAATCTATTGTAAATAAGTATTATACTCTGTATACAATTATAAAATATGGTCAGTCTACGCGAAATCGAATATATTTTGGAGTAGCATTTCGAATTTTATCGCGCGTGTATAAATATCGTAAAAACTATTGGTTTAAAATACAAGGTAACTTATTCTGTTACTCGATGACCCAATATAGAATACAAGTTTAAAATACAATCACATTATTGTGGAATCAATTATTATGAAAATAAATTCTGTTATTGGTAAATTAGAACCACGATTAACAATTTGTATTATTACCTCCAGATAACTTCCATCTGGCAATATGTATTGAAATTTCTCCGTATCGATGGTTTCCTCTTTCTGAGGATAACTAGTGAGATAGCATGCTCGTTCTTTAATTGTCCTAACAATTTCAAATTCTGCTGTAGTCTTGAAATTAATACCCTCTTTACGTAAAAGAAGTCGAAGATGTCTCGTGACATCGCGTCCTGCTATATCAACCCTCACAATACTGTGAGGCATAGCAAAACCTTCATAGATAGGTACAGCATGCGTAACACCATCTCCAGCATCTAAAACAACTCCTGTTGTTCGTCCTGTGGCGTATCTGATATGTTTCAACGATAAAAATGTTATTCGTTATATAACGATACACTCCTAATTTGCTATCCAAGGGATAAAATTTATAACTCGAATACTTACAAGCTAAGTATAGCTTGCATGGAGATAAATAAAGCCGGAACGTTGAACGTATCGAAAAATATTTCTGCTGCTCTTTCTCGATTTATTCTGGGATTAAGAGGCGCTTCTGTTAATAGAACTGGATGTTCTTCGCTAAATGTAGCTAATTGGTCTTTACTATATACATAAGACCAGATTCTCTCCATGTCATTCCAATCTGTAACAACTCCGTGTTCCATAGGGTAACGAAGAGATAAAAGGCCACGATGTTCCTCTGCTATTGGACCCACAAAAAGATCCCCCTCTAAAGCACCAGCCATAACACGTACATGTTTTGGTCTGCCAATACTACAAAGAGTTCATATCGTTAACATTTTCTTTTTTCAACAAAGAAAATTTATTTCATTTACTCTTAGAATTGATAAACAAACATGCATTTTGAATGGTTACTAATAACAGAAATTAAAAATTAAAAATTACAGCACATCGTCGATAAGGCTGTACTAAGAAATTTTGTCATAGACACACTTGCCAGTTCTTTTTTTTTAAGTTAATAATATTGTAACAATACACTGTAGAAAAACTTAAAAAATTTACGATCAGTCCACCTAACACTGTCACGAGTATTAATTAGATCGAATGAAAAGGTCCACTTACTAGTTTGGGAATCTGCATTTTGGTATCTGATCGCCTGCAAATCCTGCTTTAATTACACCAGAGCCCTAAAATATGTAAAACATCACGTAATAGTATCAGTATCGATTTTAAATTACAAATTATTGTTATTTTTCAGAAGATTGCTGGAATCTTTTAACATACGAGACATACGCGAAACAAAATGTTAATTTCGAAAATTGACACTACATTACTTTCAGAAGCTGAAAGATGTGGATAATGTTAATAGTTTCGAAAAGAAAGTGTGAAATTTTGGCGTTACTTAGTAGCCGACATTACGGTATGATTCAATTTGACATATCGGCACAAAGAATGCAAAATGTTAAACGTTTTCTAAATTCAATAAGCCGCTTACATTGTCAATAACAACAGGTTGATTAACTATCACATCGTAAGGCTCCATAATAATTTAAAATATGCACAATTTGATGTAAGAACTTTGAAAATTCACAACCGTAACCCCACAGTCACACACCTACTCTCTGGTGAGGTCTGAAGGGAGTTATTGACAACTAAGCGAAATAAAATTACTTCCTCTTCTAGCTACAAACAAGATTGCCAATAGTACAATCGAATTTTTATTCAAATATCAAAACTGTAAGGAACAAACATTTATGAACTGTTCTATGATTTTTATGAAACTTTCTAGATTTCTCATTACTATTTCTTTACACATTCAAATTTATTTATTTTTGCATGTTTTGCATTTCAGATAGATAGAATCTAAAATACAATTTCACTCCTTAAACTTGAATTAATATTAGTAAAATGATAGGCATATTTTTATCAAAATTCTAATGAATAGTACACGAAATTGAAACATTTAAAATATATTAATGCAACAAATAATGGAACATAACTAAACTATAAAATGCTTGTTTTAATTATAACGAAATATTTATTGTTCATATCTATAAGATAAAAATGCTTGAAAACTTTAAGTGTGTTTATTTCATGATGACTTAACATTATAACATACGTTTCATTTAACGTGTCACAGCCAAGATTTAAAAGTTTCTTATGTGTTTAACTATTTCACACTGCAGTATGAGAGAAATTGGTGTTTTCATTGTTTTAACATAAACTTATTTGTAACATTTTTTTCTCCGAAGATATACGTATTTACCATTCAAATAACTATAAAGAATAATTATATTAATTATAATAAAATAGAAATGTGGAAATAGAGGTAAAACTACACAAAGTATATACAATTTTCTTTCATTCGGATTAAAATATTACTAACGGCAATTGAATTGATTTATATTTACTATACTTGAAACTACCAGAACGGTAATTTAAAAATATATTAGTTGAGATCGTTATTAATAAAATAGTCTTCGCACATAATAAACTTTATGCGAATGTAAGTATGTGCTTAAACATGCTTCCGTATAGTCTAATGCAACGCTTTTGCATCATTTCTTAAAACATATATATTTGTATGTTATCAGTATCTTTTTACTATGAAAGAATATCATTTCATAGAAGCGATCATGATAATTTATAAATGTTATCACATGTTTATGCTTGACAATTGACAAGTCATCTAGAATATTTAAATCTGCTTCTCTTTCCTATGTTTTATGCAAAGACTGATAATGGTTTTTGATCTTGCTGTTATTAAATTAATACTTCTTGATATAACTATACGCAATATGATTCTAAAATTAATAAATTTCTGCCATAAGTAGTACAACTAGAGACGTCCAGCCAGTAAACGGATGACTGCCTTTGCCTTCTCCTTCGGAATCTCCATAATTCTCCCATATGTATCCAGATTTCTTGTATTGTTTTATAATGTTTTGTATCAAATTTTTTCTTAAATTCCGGTAAATATCTTTCGCGTTTTTCTGATAAGGGCCTTCAATGTTGGAGTAATGCCATGTCGCCCGTACCGTTAGATAGTTTAGATTCATCCAAATAGCTCCTCGCCAATAAGGAGCATCGTGTTCAGTATTAAACTTCATGTATAATGGTGATGTCTTCGTGAGCGACCGTAAGCCATATTTAGTCCATAGAAGATTGGGATTCGTTAAGTCCTGTAATACTTTACCTAACTGCGGAGAATCAGGATCAATGATTTGCAAAATAAATGGAAATAATGAAACGTAACCGAAAGATGCGTCGACGTATTTCAATGTTGGATCTTCCAAAACAATCCGTATCATTTCTGACGATTGTGAGTGCGATCTCGGCGGTGAAGCTGGTCTACGTAAAGATACTTTGTCAGTATGCAATCCAAAATCAGCATAAGTTTGTCTATTCGGTGACCAGTGCAGTTTATTTAATAAATTGTTATCCGACAAATATTGATACGTTTCCTGATATTTATTATTCGGATGATTCAAAATTTCACTGATCTGATACATAATATCAGCAGCGAATGCGATCCAGCAGCGTAGATCAACGTGTCGTTCGTCAACATTTGGATGAGAAGCTCTTGGATAATCGTCTAATCCGGAAGTGAGCGTCTTTGGATTTAATTCTCTATTAGTAGTTCCGTTTCTACCTCTCCATCTATACGTGCTCGCCATATCTCCAGTCTGAGTGGTATTAAACCAATTAAACCATGCTTGAAGACGAGGATACAATCTATCAAGAAATTGATAATGTTTGTCCAGTATTTCTTTATGATTATGCTTCAGAATGAAATGCAATGTTAAGAAAAATGTTGGCGGATTAGCATTCGTATTTATTTGTGTTACGAATTCTTCTGGAACTTTTGCCAAAGCTTCTTGGCCTAAAATCATTTCTCTCGGGATCCAACCTTCGACATTCATCAAATCAAACCAATGATTTATAATATCTAATTCAATTTCTAAATCCCAGGCTGATATAAGCAAGCCATGGAAGCCTTCGTCCCATAGAAAACCTCGTGGAAAAAAACTTCTACTAGGTACAGCAGTATACAAAGGTGCTTTCCAATAAGGCACAGATCCTTTAGTATATTGGCTCTGTACTTGTGAATTACCATAAAAATATCCTATGGAACCTATCATATTCGACAGCGCCATTTTAGCGAATATAATATCCTCTTCCGTATAGCCTTTTGATCTTAATTTAAATATTTCTTCGAATTTCGCATCAAATGATTTTCGCTGCTTTTCTAAAGCACGTTCATAATTTTGTCCAGTTAATTTGTCAACTCTATTTATAAAACTACCCGACTCGAAACTAGCTTCGATTTCAAAAGGAATTCTTCCTGTTATTTGTGTTACAATAAAATTTGCACTTTTCTTTGTTTCATCGACCGGTAATGGTATTTGTTCGCCCGCTAATACTATATGTTTCTTTGTAGATCCTTTTTGAGATGCTATCCGAAGGTTATGAAGCACAGTTTCCTTTAACAGATTTAGCCCAGGAACAACAGTTGCCAAAAAAGAGTGTTCTTCTAGAGTCCCCTGTATTACATTAAAGTTAATGGTAAACAAGCCCAGCCCTTGAGTATTCCCTTCTATGCCCGTTATACGTTTTTCATCGCCAAGATTAGCTTTAATCCATCCTTTAGTATTTTCTTCGATAGCAGTATAAAAGAGTAATGAAATTTCTTCGCCATCCTGCATTTTATTTTCGGATGTTACAGAAATTCTTGCTGTCCAATCTCCGCCATGTTTACCACCAGGTTTTTTGACAAATGTAGTATTCAAAATAGCTGAATTATCCACTATTTCCTGAACACCAAAAGTTCTTCCATCGTGTTCTAACCAGGCATATCTAAATTAAATTTAAACAATAAATGTCATGTACGCATGCATTAATAGAAATATATTATTGAAAATTTTATTTACCTATCTAAGTTATCTCCTTGCTCGCACCAATGCCTAAGGCCACTACCATCTTGACGTAGCAGATGAGGAAAGTACCACATCAATCCAGTCACTAAAGAATGCGGATCTCTTGTTTTTAATCCAAAATAAACACCTGACCGATACGTGCCCCAATATCTGTTTGGAATGTCTAAGCCACTAGCTGTAACCAACTGTTTTTAAGCAAATAAATAGACATTGTATTAATAATTATAATATAAATTCAATGTTACAAAATAATAATAAAAAATTGTAACAATTTAGTCGTACTATCTCATACCTTCTCTACATCATATAGCGTATTTACTCTGGTTTCAAGATATCCTTTGTAACTAAACCATATAGCTATAGCAATACATAAAACTGTAATCGTAGTATTCAACATTGGCATTTTAAATTTATCTTCTTTCTTAGTGTTAGCAAAACTTAAAACTTTATTTTTCGTTTTTGATGGTTTATCCTGAGTTCTAATTTTAGCCATTCTATTTACCTCGGAAACAAATTATAAGAATGATCCGCCAATGATTTTATATTTACGACCTAGATAACAAAAATTATAGTACAAACGACATTCAAAAATATACTCATTTTTCTTTATAGAGAAAATGAAATTTTCTATTAATGTTAGAAATGGAAAATAAAAATAATTTAAACAAAATACTGATCAATGATAGAAATATTAATTCGAAAAATGAGTTGTAAGTACCTTATGTTGCAACAATATTATTATCGGCGGTATAATGTACCGAGCAGTTAAAATAAGTAACAATAAATTGCAAATTCAAATCAAGAATTTTGTTTCTCATTCACTTGATGCATTTTATTCCTAATAGGTTATATTTGGCGACAAATTTACCATTTGTTCGATAAGAAATCGTAAAATAGAATATATCCAAAAATTTCGAACAACATGTGCGAAAGAAATATCTAATGCTTACAAGTTACATCATTTCCTTTTACTGATTTTATCATTGAATAACAAAATCGACAAAATATGTACGAGAATGTAGCGCTGCAGTTTAAATAAGTTTAAAACGCTAAGAATGATAAATTACTAATAATAATAAATTTTGTAGTTAACATTCTGCTAAACTATACTCATTAATTCAATATTCGTGTTCGTATGGATAAATATATGCAGCATATTTTTAATCGTATTTTTACTACATGTTCTCTTTTGTGCATTTAAAACATACATATGTATGTACAGGACGAATTAAACGATTTAATGTAACATTTAAATTTTTATTTATCCAATTGTTGCATATATTACAAATAAAGCATTTACTATCACACAGTAATAATGGGGAAGAGCTTATAATTATACTGTTTACATATTCGTGTATGTAGACCTTTGATTAGTAGTTATAACATTACTATGTTAGCACTTTGTTTAAAGTTTCAAATGGAAATATTAAATATCAATGAACTGTGATAAAATTAATTATAATTTTATCATGATTGAATGTTTTGTACATGTGTTCCTTTTATTAGTTATTTCCCGTTTTTAGTACATTTTTTCCATCTGAATTTTAAGCAAGTACATTATGTGTAAAATGATTGCTTAGGTAATAGAATGTATGTATCATGACTGGGAGAATATAATATTGGGATTAGCGAATGTTCTGTATATGTACTGAAATGTATGTAATTTACTTCGCTTACTTCTATTATCTTAAATATCTTATGTATTTGTTTTTTAAAAATTTTTTGTTAAAACAATTGCATATATACAATGTTGACAATGTATAGGTTTCTTTGAATATTATGACTAAACAACAAAATATTTACCTTAAAAATATAACCGAGCGTGAGACTGTGAATAATTATTTCTCTTAGTTTATAACGTATAACAGTAAAATATGTTCACAGCCGGTAGTATACATTAACTGCAATAAACTTAGGAATATAATAAATAGTCCTTGCTTAATAAACGTTATATCATCTGGTATATAGTATTTTAGCAACGTTATTTTTCGAACAATGTATTCATTGTTTACACCCATGTAAAGGCATGGTTTGTTCTTCAGAACGACTACTGTAACGATTTGTATTGCAAGATACACATTACAAAAAGAATTAAAAAACATTAACAAAGTAGGACCATAAAGATCGTTGTTTCATATAAAAGGCATATATTATAATATATATGTTTGCCTTTCCTTGTATAGAATTATATTGTAACCAAGTAACCAAACATTTATAATACACCAATATATTAAAAGAAATCATAATATGAAAAAGTAAAATACCTTTATGTACATAGGAATATCGTTGGCATGAGGTACAATACCATGTACTATTCTACAGTAATAATCCTCACTATATGTTACCTTCTTTTTTAAATAATGTTATAATAATAATAATACAATACATTCTACAATAGCATATACAATTCACCCAGAACAACAATTCTGTAGTGCTTTGCTATTTTTCATGAATTAGTATCAACAGAACATCACTTTTTCTTTAATTCCTTGGAATTATTAAAAACAAACAAATTTTATATATTTACTTAAACTAAGCACAGAACAGAAATCTTCCTTCATCAAATATCAAATATTTTTTCTTTAATTTTCCTTCTATTGAAAGTAATAATGCACACAATTTATCTATAATTATAGTACTTTATATTGCTTTTTTCTGAGCTAATATGAATATACGTGAACAAATATTACATTGTATCAATAAAATATGCACAAAGGGAATCTAAATGTTATGACTTCACAAACATTAGATTATACATTTCGAGGAAAGAAAACATAAAGAGAATATATTATATAAATCAAAGTACAACTTTATAAATGTAGATTAATGAAATAGTATGTAATTAACATTAAATAAATTATCCAAAGGTAAGGTTTAAAAATATATATCCTTCCTGTTATGTGTATACAAGTTTTTGTGCATACTACACGTACATACACAAAAATTTGTACACACTTTTAAAAAATGATTGTGTTTAGCACTATAATATCTTATTCAAACATGTGCCATTCCTTTTGTGTATTCATTGTTTGTTAGAAAGTATCGAACAGATAATTTTGTTGCTTCGTATAAGAAATATAGTTTGATAATAACAAAGTTTGTGCATTTTTAATGCACAAAGTACATACATGCAATTACTTGTTGCATAATGTAATAATGTAACTAAATAAAATTTAAGAAATAAAAAGCAGACAACTCAAAAATCATGAACAGTAGTGTTGTTTAACATAAAATTAATGGAAATAAATACCTGTTTGTGCGAGCACTTGATTTATACAAATCTGGAAAATATTGTTTGTTACGTATGGTGCTTCTAATTTTTATACATACTTTCTATAACAGTGTGATGAAGCAAATACTGTATCTACTATAAACCTCTCTTTACAAGTAATAACATATTTATGTTTTCGCTATGACCATTGATATAATTATATTACTCCTAAGTGAAAGCAAATACTTTTCGATTTTATCATGTAAAATTTTCAGCATAAATGAATTATGCAAGAAAAATGTTAATTCATGATTTAAAGTTTTAAAGTATAGAATAATAGTTTTCCCAACATACATGGTCATTACAATGATAAATCTATAACTAATTGTGTTAATACGGTGCTTTTCGAGAAAATAAAATAATAACTTGAAACACAAAAATCTCTAAAAGAAAGTAATTTTTACGAATTGAAATTAATTAATCTTATTTTACCTTGATCTATTTATGTCTCGTACACTGATATTAAATAAGGATAAAATTAAAAGCTGAAATAACAAGTCAGAAATCTAACAATATACTGTGTTTTAAACGTAATTTCATATACGTTATAACACAGAACGAGTATAACAGATATTTCTGCGGCCAGCGCTTACGAATTAATATCTTTAAATGGATGTATAGAATATCCTGACATTCTTTCCTTTTCTCAAATTTAGCTTTAATGTTCAAGTCATTAATACCATTCGCAGGGAACTCCCATTCTTTGTTTCTTGGGAATTGACGGTTACAACGCAAGTGGACAGACGAATCAGCACATTATTCTGTTACATACCTCTGTAGAATATATTCTTTATTATAGGTTCTTATTAAATTAATAATTTAAAAGGATCGAACTATATACCTAAAAGGTGATTGCATTATATTTGTAATTTCGAAAGATTAATATTTTTAAACTAATTGATAAAAGTAGTTTTAAACATGGAACTTGTAAATAAATTTTAAGTAAAAATATCGTGAAAGAATAAATTTTAATGTACAAAATAGAAATGCAGGTATTCTTCAGAGGTATCCAACACGTATTAACTGCAAGTAAATAATTCACTTACAAATTAATGTATTGATTCGACTGGCCAGTTGCGTTGATTACGGTTCATTTTCTCAAACTATCTTTACTACTTGCTCGGCTAGTTGAAGCTGTGCTAGATTCTCCAGGACCACCAGCACCTCCTGTATCTCCATTGATACTAGATCCAACAAGAGATGCTGTTGGTGTAACTGGAGCTGAACGTCTCCTCACTTTAGTCAAAGCTTTATCTAATCGTTGTATAAATACATCCACGTCTGATCTTTTCATACCCAAAGCTGCAGCAGCAGTTAAATATGGTACTGGATAATTACTGTTATGTGCTCCCCAACCTAAATAAAATTACGATAATATTAATTAAAACAGGATCTATTGATAATAAGATAACAAATTTTTATACATTGACAAAATATACTAGTCACGTATTTAATACACACCTTCAAACTTGTGTAAAGCAACGTGTTTACATTCTGCAGTCGTTATTACTCTTATACCGCTAACATTGCGTAGGAATAGTATTGAACGTAATGTGTTAACTTGTTGAAAACCATTATGATGATTTAAAAATTGAAGAGTCATTCCCATTGATATGGGATTTCCTTTAGTGTCTAGCAATCTTTCGTCGTACCGTGCCGCTAATTTTCCAAGTTCTTCTTTTAAACACGAATACATTTCTTTACGTTGTGTTATTAGTTGCTTGTAACCAGTCATTCCCAAACTTAGTAATGTTATCATTACATCCATAATTGAGCTAGCGCTTGCACGGCCTGGATACATTTTTGATATGCGATCTAAAAGATTTTTGTCAAACGAACCGATAATTGCACCGCCCACCGGCACTAAGAAGTTCTTATCTGTGCTTTGAACAAAAGCATCGACACGGCCTTTCCGTGATGCTTCTTGTATGAGGTGCATGCATCTTGTACTCTGCAAGCTTTTAATAGTAGAATACCATATAGTATTCGTTTAAATGTAATATATTTAAAACCAAATTTTTGCATATAAACTTACCCATATGCATTGTTTACTAAATGGGGAATGTTATATTGAGTACACAGTGCTGCAATAGAATCAATAGAATCACTTGCTCTAGGTGCAAAGCAACTAGTTGTTGTAAGCACGCAAGCAACGCTTTCACCTAAAGCTGCCATTTGTGATTCGAGTCTTTGCATGTCTGTCTTTACCTCGTCTCCAACTATTTTCGTTTCAATAACAATTGGTTCTAAACCAGCAGTAAATATTGACTTAAAGCTCGACTTTTGATCAATTCTAGACCATAGAACATATTTTGCTCGCGGTCTGTCTTGTTTAAATGTTAACATGCACAGTACCAAGCTCATGCCTGTAGCCATTGGAGATAAAAAACAACCTGCTATGCTCTTTACCCCTGCAATAAAAGATATCACAGAGTGTATCTTATACGCATAACTTATATGAAACAATTTGGAATTATTAGTCTTACCCATATATCGAATAACTTCAAGTACCAGAGCATTTGTTAATTTATACATTAGACTGCTTCCAGCAGCTTTAGGTTGTACTTCTTCTAAGTCACTCGATCTACCTATACCATGCCCCATTCGAAAATGTCGTCTTGCAACAATGTTTGATATAATTCTTGCTTCACGTTCTCCAACGCTACAGTTAGAAGGAAAATTATTGCTATCCATTTGTGATAGGTCTGAGAGAAATGCTTCTATCGTTGTATCATCCCATCCCTCTTCTGGCCATTTTTGCTGTTTTCAAAAAATTGGTAAATAACACTAATCATTAGCATATCTCATAGTTAGATTGTTAAACAAAATCTTACATGTTCAATAAAATGCCTTATAAGATTTTCACGTGATTTTTTTGCATTTAAGCCTTGTTGCACATAGGTTGCTGGAATGAGCTTTTCTGCTAAACTGAATGCCTGATTATTCATCTTCTTTATTTACCCAATTCTTGCAAACGTTTAGACCATAAATCTTAGGAAGTTCGATGTTTTAGCACACCATTGCTTTTGATAAGTAATGTAAGATTATTAGAATGATTATTAAATTACAAGCAACATTAATATTTAATGTACATTACATAACATAAAAGAAACTGTACAAATTTATAACATTAACATTGTTTGGTGTTTAATATCGATCATCATGAGTATGCGATAAATATTTGTACTTATAAGACAAAACTTAAAAGTAATATTAGATAGATTACAAATACATTTGCGAACATATACTTTAATGACAAAATGTATCAGCTGCTGGAGAATATTAATATTCTTGGAAATATAAGGTGCAACAAATCTGAAATATATATGATAAAATAAAACACAAATGATTTGTATAAAACTGAAATTTATTAAAAAATTATACATACATCTTTTGTTATAAGGGAACAAAACAATTATATACAAAAGATAATTATAACTTAACAGACTACAAATTGTGAATGTAAAACAATAAATTATTTAAAAATTAATTTATCATATTAAAAGAATACAGTAAATAAGCGAATAACATCAACAGTGAACCAATGATTTGACTCGTTTAAAAAGCGTAATAAAGTGGAACGAATTTAATACGGGAGTGATGTGAAGGTTATGTGTGTTTGTATCGTTTAAATTTCGAAATATCAAAACACTCTACGCGAAAACAAGTAATAGAGAGCTATTGCGATTAGAGTCGTGGTCTAATTGGCGAACAAATAAAAAGAAACTATTAATGTTAAAGTGACATAGTTTCGGTGGAGTGGCCCAAGTGACACGGTAAAAAATGGGTTGGGCTACGATGAAATTAAAATAGCGGTGCATTAATAATCATGCACTACCTGACGCATTCCAGAGACTCCAAGCCGTAATTGCATATGTTCTCGTTTAATAGAGCCGAGCTAAGATAGACACGGCTCGTGTCGCGATCATCCGGAATTGTCACCAGACACAGGTTGTTAGGTTATGTCGCGTCGAGGTCACCTAAATCGGATTAATTTTACGCAATACAGAGGATACAACGTAATTGTTTGGCCACGGGGGCCTCGGGACTGCGTTTCAATTGTCGTTGGTTACACGATGTGTACCGCGGACGCGTGGAGAATCGCGAAAATTCTCAAGCACGGAATTTTACCTCGAATTATGGCGTTCAGGCGACAGCGGACGGACGGGTTACGCACGGCGCTACGAACGAATTCGTCCGCCGTCTTTACAGGTCAAAGTGATACGTGTGTAATTCACAACTCAACTAGCCGGCAGGTGCATCATTTACTGATAATTATCTTCTTTCTTCTTTGCATTGAAATCATTGATCATCACATGCTGATACGAAAAATGGACATATCAATAGTGCCGAATCAGCGATTTTTAAGTACGTTCATGTATCCTATAACACCTATGCATTTTTAAGATTTACTGTATACATATAAAATGGTATATATTGCTCAGAATTTAACATTGTCTATTTCTATATCCATTTTTATTTATTTATTTATTTTCATATTAAGAACATTTTATACGATAGAAATAATTTTTATTAACTGCGTAAGTATATAAATATTTTTTATGCCATTTATTTCTGAGAAAATCGTTTTTTCGCGAAGCAGTTATTTAAACTGTTTTCATTTGACATTCGCACTTTTTACGCGGCATTTTCATAATATTTTATAATTTATAATAATTTTACGACATATTCGAATTATTAATCATTTGAGAAAAATTTATTTAATTGTTATAATGCCGAAGAGTTCGTGATCGTTTTGTACTCGGATATTAACATTTTTCAACTTTATGCTATTTATTATCCTTAACGTACAGTCTGTCGCATAAACATTACATAATCATATGTTGTCATTTATCTGAATATAATGTTTTTTTTCTCGATAGATTAAAAAGTAATCATTTTTCTTTTATTGCGTCATTCTTAGGTACTACCAAAATTCAGAAATGATAAAAGAGTAGACGTAAGTAGTAGTTTGGATTGTGCTTCAACCATCTATTATTAAACTACGTATTCCATAAACAAACAATTGTGCTACTACTAATTGAAGTTAACATACACGTAACATACGTTTTCGTCGTGACAGTTGCTGTTTATCGTTCATAAGTTAAAAAGTTTTGGTCCGCGCGCGCAATAAAAATTTCGACAACTTAAAGCAGTATAGGAACACTTCGATTTTCTGCATTGGTATACTTGCACGGAGGTCAACGCAATTCAGTGATGTGAATTGACCTCAGTCTGCATAAGGTTTGCATCGTGTGGCGGTGTTGAGTTAGTGCTCAAATGACAGGTGTGCAGTGCGTCGGCATTTAACCTATACGAGAAAAGTATTCTAAATTGTATTGTTTATTCTAATATAGAACGTTAAACACATATTGAAAACTCGATCGCGTAGGTATATTTCCTTGTACTTCTGATAAATTTTGTTCGTGAATGAAAAGAATGTAATGGCCGTAATAATTTTGTATAATTTTTGCTAATAAGTTACAGAAAATGCTTTGCAACACTGCGTCTCATACGTAAGCATTGGTTTGTAATAAAACTGATACAATCGTGTACGAAGCCGATATTTTCTGTACACTTTCACAAATTTGTGTAAGATAGACGTCAGTGATAAGAGTAATCGATAAACAAAGTACATTAAAACTTATGCGGATAAACTTGGCATGGAAACGATTTATACATTAACATGTTATTTTTCATGACAGTACTGCAAAGTGTTTACTGAGAAATATTAGTACTATTGCACGATAACGAAAATGGTTATTTCGAAATACGATTGTTAGCTTTACGCTTGATATTTGTGACTTACTCTTTGCAGATTACTTTACCAGCATCTTTATTCGTTTTATACGAACGCGAACATTTTTTCACTTAGTTCTTCTTAGTTTTCACGCTAAATTTAATACAATAAATAGATAAGCGGGTATCGCAAATTGCGCAAGATTCTAGTGGTGAAATTGAAGAAAATTTTACCATAAGAATCTTACGATTTCCATTGATCAAAAAAGGATCATTTTTTTTATGTAAAAAAAAAATGATTACCAACATTCTTGCAATTATTTTGTAATATTTAGCATGCAAATAAGAGTTTTTTTACGGACAATGTTTAGAATTGAATAAAAAGTTTAATGTTTCAATAAATTGACGAGTTCCTTTTCAATTTTTGCAGATAAACATGGAATTAGAAAATTGTAATTCACACGGCGATCATGAAAATACCGCACCAAACACGCCACTACACGATAACGACCCTAGCGGAACTAAAAAATGGTACCGACAAGCTAGTCAGAGGTTAGTAACTGTTAATTATTTGCAATTGTCAAATTGTTGATACAGAAATTATTACCTAAACAATACATTGTACATAGTTGTCAACTTATTCTATACAAATTTTTTTAAGTACAGCACATAATTATTTTATGATCGATAATAATGAATTTTATACACAGAAATTTGTTTGTGTTTGTATTTCAGTATTATTGGTATATTATTTAAAATAATTAGTAGTTCTCATATCTAGGGAAATTTTTGCAAGTCAAATATTAGAAATGAAATTATTGTACATTTAAGATGGTATACATTTACTTGTTATCCAACTAACTGTAAATTACCCTTTTTCGTGACTGCTGATATCGGATACTATTTTACTATTATTGTTATTATTCTTATTTCAGTTATTAGTGTGTTATCACTGCTATTTTTCGTTGCTACTTTATTATTATTGCAATAGCTATAATCGTACTATTATTACATTAATAGAATACTATTACTGCTATTATCACTGGGGCTATTGATATTGCTATCACTATTACTATAGGATTCCTTATTAACTTAATGAAGTAGGTTGAATAACTGACCCTCTAATTATTTTGCGACTTGTCACGAAGCAACATGAATCAGAAAGTGAATGGACGATTTTAACAATCATCGATAATGCGTATAAGTTACGCTAAGTGTGATTTTATGATATTTATAAGATCGCCAAGGACGACAGTTTAAACAGCCTACGCACTGTCAAGAAGCTGTTTGATCATAGAGCGCGAAAATAACTCGTTCAACTTAAATAATGTTTGTGCGGTGATCGCGAATACTTTAGGTTCGCGCGACTAAATTCAGAATTTACGTTCGATGCTGTTTTAATCTCGATCAATTTTTTCGTCTGATCGAAACTTCCGACATGTACCACCCATGGCGCGTTGGGACGCACATTGCGATAACATTAATGCTCTATGACTTATCGGGACATCTTGACGATAACAACGCACCTTCCGTTATGACGTATATTAATGATCGTCAGCGATGAGTCAGTGTTTAGACTTCTAAGAAATTCTATTTCCGATTGTTTTACATCAGAAAGTTCTCTGAATTTTAAACGTTCTGGTTGCTAGCAACTACATTCATATACCTAGCATGGCGCGTATCTGTGTACTTTTCCTTCCTCTCTATTATCGTTACGCGAATGACCCCTGCAGCCTTCTTATCGTCGTTGCTATTCTGGCCATATTTTCGTTTTAGTTGTTTTCTCGTCGTACGGGGTCGAAAATTCTCATTCGACGGCGGTCACTTTTGTCGTTCGCGCCGATCAGTCAACGAAAGTGTAAATACTCACAGTTCGCGATCGATACCGACAACGACATCGTGGTTACGTCGTAATGAGCCGTGGAAGCGTGAACGTGCTGGTTACACAGCCAAGCAGGACTGGTAATTCTTCCTTATTTGTAAATACCTCCCTGTTTGACAAGATTCCATGCGAAACAGCAGTGGAACGTACCGTTTCCGAACGATTTCTATTTAACGTGTCGACTCATAAGTTATCAATCATCTTCAGAAATATCGTAAATAATCAATCTGTACGCAAATATGAAATTAAGATTATAATTATAAACATTAACAACAAAATCGGACAAAAATGAATTTGACGTGTTTTGATTTAGTTGAAAGAGGAATTCATTAGTGCCCCGTGGTAAAAGTAATCGTCGGAGTTTAAACCAATAATGACTAATAAACGATTCTAACTTGTTATGGCCAATTATTTTCCTTTTATCTTCTAATTTAACATAATTTCGAAACCACGTCTAAACGATCTTTAACTATCTGTTGATTACTCGGTGATCCATTACTTTTCGTATACTTTAAGGTCATTGAAATCATGAACGTAGTAAATACACTACGGAAATGATGAGACGCAATAAAAATAAATTGAATTACCTAAATATACAGATGAGAATTTTATGTAGTAAAATATAATTTTTATTTTATTATCTTAATTTCATATTTGTATGATTCTTTTGAGGATAACTCAACAAAGTATCAAGTATATACAATTAGTAGTCTGAATTCGGAAATATGTACTGATATATAAGTAATACAACACATTTTATTCTACTTCGACAAATTCAAGCTCTAACCCTTTCTGTCTCAATAATTCCGTAATGGTATCACTATATAAACTTCCCAGTGATACCATTTGACATCATTAACGCTTCAAGATATGATAAATAGCGACATTTAAAAGTTTAAGTTATTTCTTGTCACACCGAGTTAGTAGTTGCGTCATTAAAACAGTCGAAAATAAAATGTCAATGAAACGAGTTTACTTTACATCTATTGTAAGATCCACATAGTATGCGCACCCTGTACATGTATAATATTACAATCAGTTATGAGGATCTTGTACTCTTCTTGCGAGGACTAAATAAAATATTCGAAACAGAAAGGGTTAATATTGTTTGAAAGTTTCCAGAGTTGACTGGAAAAATTATTTCGTAAAAAAAAAAGACTCGGCTTGCCACTTCGTTACGCGTTTCCTTTTTGGCTATGTAACCAGCGTACGAATGTTCTTCGAGCAGGGTGGAAGATCAGATTCGACGACTCGAACGTCTTCCATAAGGGGTCTATTCGTCGGTCGGTGTTTGACTTTTGTTTAAATCCCGGAAACAGAATAATCAGGAACGATCGTAGCGAACAAGACCTGGATAGCTACAATGAGGGCAGCGGCATGCGAACAGATAAGCGTGAATTAGGTCAGAGGTAAATCTTTGCATTTTCATTTTGAACGACAGAGACGATTTTTTATGGTTTCGTTTATTTGTAAGATAATCACGTTGCTTTTCTAACCGACCGTTTACCTTTTCGAGTATATACAACGTGTCGCTTTTTTTTAAATATTTTATTTAATGGTTTAACGTCGCGCCAACAACGCGGTTATTAACGACATCGGTACAATTAACAGTACTTATAATATATTGGCATTGAAAGCCCCTGATAACGAGAACAAAAATAAATGTTGCCACGTTGCGGTATCTTCGCAAACGCAAATGAAAATACTAAACACATTGCAAAATACGGGATATCGCAGCCTACATGCGCGTGCATTTTATCTGAATAATACTTGCAAGACGCGTTTACTAGGAAAATTTCAAAGATGATTGCTTGCAGGGTGCCGTAGATCCTTTCCTTTCAGTCGGATGAAAAAGAAAGACAGAAACGTCTTTCATTTCGTCGCTCGTCTGATTCTAGCCTAACCTTGATGCCGAGTTTAAAATCCCCTGTAGGATTGGAAACAAAGAAGCACATAGTATAGAATGATTCTTTATAAATAATATCTATAGAATAAACGATTAATAAAATTGCATCAGTTGTTCGTTGTTCCGAATAAAGATTCGTTCGAACAACGCCCCAGCATCGTACTATACTGCATTTTTTTTAAAACGAAGTTGCAGCAATGGTTTCCACGACTGCTCGTTTACAAATTGTCGCATTCTTCGCGTCGGCCAGTGTACTCGAACAATGGACTACCCAGTTCAGCTCGATCGAACCAGTTTCGCTCGTTCCGAGTCTTCTTTTCTTCTCTTTTCCCCCGTCTTCGTTTCCACTTCCAATTACGGCACAACCTCCATTATTTGAACTAATAGGGTCGAGGAAATTTTACTTTTCTGAGATTAATAATCTTCCACGTGAGATCAAACAATAACAGCAACGAGAAAACTAATGTAAACGAACAATTGTTGATACTATAATAAAAATTTAGTAAGACAAATATTGTCTGATATAATTCTAGAGCTACAATTTGTACCTTCTCGCTCGCGACTGTTCGTTTCGACTGCATGCAGTATATTGACGCTTTCTCGCTGGTTTCCTCCTTGCTCGGGCCTGACCTTTGTCTCCAACCAGGTCCGAAGTTTCCAATCTTTAATGACTCAAACAATGATAACGGCCCTGCATAGCGAAGCTGACGAAATCCATGTACGAAGGTATTTCATAGATAAAAGTAAGCCTTTTTTGTTTTTTGTTTCGATTGCTCGGATAGACGGAGCTCTTACTTCCAGCTACGTGCTGCTGGACACGTATGCATTTACAGCGAGCCACAGCCAAAATCGTACACATTAAGAATATTGTTTTATGTTCAAATTAAATTAAAAATTAGTACTTTGTAGGATAATCGTATGTTTTCTAATCCTTACTTCTAAGTCATGCGAAATATTCTCAATTACGTTTAGGTCGGGTGATCGGGAAGGTGTATTGATTACTTTCGGGCAATTATATAATTGCCACTTTTTGCCAATGTGAATCTTTCCTTCTTGCACGTGTAACAGCTAAAATATGACCTCGCGATAATTGTGACTATTAAAAAAAAATGATTTTTTTTTTTCTGTGCCTATTTATTCACGTACATGCATATGCCATTAACATGATTGCGTCTAAACAGCCGAATGAATTTAAATGAAACTTTACATTTAAGTTTTTATGTTCTCGTTTCAAGGTCTGATTAGATTTTTAGCGTAAACTTCTTTTTTTCGAACGAAACATATTTTCATATGTGGTGTACGATTTTGGCTGTGACTCACTGTATAGTACGACGCGTTCCAGAAACAGTTTACGATCGTATTGGGTCCTGAAAGGTAGATTCGAAACTCGAAGGGTACGTGCCCATTCGCGCGTAGATACTTCGAGAAATTGAACGTGACGAGACAAAAGAACCATCCTGTTTTTGTAACATGATCGTCGTCTACCTTGTACACACAATGGGATCAATGTATTCATGAGAAAGTCTCACGATCTTCCCAAATTCCTGATACTAACAAATGCTTTGTTCTCTATTGGTATAATGATTCATGGTTTATCATCATCGGGATTATTTTAACCAGTATGCTACCTGAAATGAAACCCGTTTAATAATTTCTAACACGTTAATCGACAGATAAATTGTTACACAGTATGTCTTATCATGTTTACGCGCATATCCCCTTCATATAAAACTTCAAAACATCTCAAATTCTTTTCCTTAGTGA